ATATCACTAGGTGCTTGCCGTAAATTTTATAGCATGTGAGCAACTCGGGTTTGATGCCCGCCGGCACCAAAAAAATTGTTTATTGCAATTTTAAATGCCGATTTACCATGTACTCAGCGGTGAAAGAAAACTTCTTCAGGAAACCTGCATGTACAGAGAATGAAATATTGAGAAACGGAATCCATTTCAACTGGAAACGAGGCATTCCATCTTAGTCCTCAGGGGTGACAACGCATCTGCATTTTGATTCTTAATCGAGGATAGATATCTATTGACCAAAGTAACCACCATCGGGAGAAATATGTGCTCGTTTATCACCCTTATGTTACCAAAAAAAAACTTCTATCTGGAAACGGCGAAGCTGGCCTTGCCCTTTCTTACCGAGACACAGGTGTTCTCTCTCACTAATACATCTTATCTATCCCACCCGGGGTACAAATCTTACTTTCGAGCTGCACTCCTGTGTACCTCGGTCTGGGGCTTGCGTATACGTATGGGAGGATATCTGTTCTCGATGCCTCGTCATTTTGAAGGTGCCGGGTGCCTTTATAAGTCCCACGGCATTAAGATCGACTCAAACCACGTCAAAATAAAAACGACTGTGCCATATGGCAGGGTGCGGACAGCGATCTCAAAAGGTCGTGGGTACGAATCCGCCATTTGACTACTGTCGTTAACCACTCCTAATACAAGCATTTTAAAGTTATTGCTGTCTCGTGTTCTACATATAAGTCCATTGCTATTGTGTTACTGTTGTGCCTGAAAATCGGACAGTGAAAGTGTTAAGCTTACCAGGAGTGGTTAAAGGGATTATTACTAATGTTAATTGCATTACTAGTATTTTTTTTAATAAATTAAAAGTAAAATGCCTACAGATTCCTTGCCACAACAGATCACGCCGCAGAAATCGTGATCTTAGCAATTTCAACGCCAACCACGCTGAATAGCATGATACAGCAATGACAATTCATTGGCCCATGCCGCAAAGTAGAAAGCCGAACTTTTAGGCTCTATCGGGGGAATTCACCGCCAACAATTTCGCAGTGTCTAAAACGCACTTCTCTCACTGATTGTCAATTCGTCGAGCTCTTGTTCTCCAAAGTAATAGAGGCCATTATAAACTGCCATTTCATGATGTATATAACGAATAGTCAACGACCGAGTTCTTTCTGATCGATTCGATCACTCCATCTCTGGCGTTGGTAACAGACGTTGCATCTCTTTGCATTTTCTATCGCATTTACCACAGGGTGTACTCTAACACACACTATTTGGATGGTTGGCGGTCCACCACTGTGGGATTTACCAGAAGTTTTCATTCTCGCACTACATCTTTGTGGAATCAGCTACCACCAAAGATTCTCCCGGACCTGTATACGACTTAGAGGTCTTCAAGAAAAGAGCCATTTTAAAAGGCTGGTAACGCATCTACTATTCTCCGGGTGTTACAGTTGTCCACGGGCGACGGTATTCAGTTAACATCAGGTGAATCGCATGCTCGTTTGCCACCTCTCATAAAAAAGACATGTGTACAGTTCCCACGCGTTAGAAGTGAAATTTATACATTGATAATTGTAGGGTTTATTTAATACTAGCTGCGCCCCGCGGGTTCACCCGCGTCATCACGTGTCCGAGGTGCGCGACATGACCTAGTTCAAGCATTTTATATCGGCTAGGGTTTAAGCGTCGTTCGCGCGCCCAGCCAAGTATTGAATTATTTTTATTTTACATTATCTCTTAAACTATGCGTCCAAATAACATGGTATTAAGAACAAAGTTTATCTTCATAAAATTGTCTTGATCATGAAGTAACTTTCGTTCGTAAGGATAAATAGGCCATGCCTAATAATAACGCTCATAAATCACTTAAATTTTCAATATTTTTTGTCACAAAATACCAAATTATGGCTTATGTATAAGAAATGGACTTTTTTTAGAGGGAGTAAAGGTCTATATTTTTCTCGGATAAATCATTTCGGGAGTGCTTTTTCTTCTGACTTGCTTAACAAATATTAATATTTAAGGCTAGCTGAGTGATATAGCATAATGCTAGATAGCCGATACTATTCCACATGAATCTGGCTATAATATACAAAAAGAATTTTTCAAATCGGACTGGTAGTTCCAGAGATTAGCGCGTTTAAACAAACAAAAAAACTCTTCCGCTTTATTATATTAGTATAGATAATATTGTTAACAAGTTTAAAAATTATTTTACATTTTATTTTACATAATATATTACATTATATGTTATATACACTCCAAGTTTTCAATTATAGCGCAATAAATCAAAAGAATATTTTCTTAGAGAAAATGAATTTTTAATAACGCCATCTACGTCACTCTATAGGTAAAGTCATTTTATCGAACAAACATTGATTAGACTCAAGACGGTTCGTAAAATAGACGCTAAATAGCCTAAACACGAGTAGTTTAATGGCGGCTGTACACGCTCGTCTCGTCGCCTCGCGTGCCTCTCGTCGCGTAGAGGTTCGACACGAGAGCACACCATGTACACACTCGTTGTATCACTTGAACTCCGGATGCCCACTGCGATGGACGTAGAAGAAACTGTTGCTGTGTTTTGCCTTTGCTATTTTTTATTATAATTTTTTACATATTTCCAATAAAAAGAAAATTAATAATTCATGGTTGATGGTTTCTATTCACTGCAATAGAACCATGTAAGTTCCTATATTGTATTTGACAATATTGAACCAGTTTTTTTTGGATAATTTTTATAATTATCTGAAAACGAACGGGTGTGTACAGGCGCGCTCTCGTTTTCATCGCGAGACTCACGAGACCCTTTGACTCGAGCGCAAAAAACCGACATGCTTCCGAGAGCGAACGAGGACCGCGAGACTCGACGCGACGCGACGAGGGCACCATGTACACACTCGTACTCGGCCTGTCTCGTGGTGTCTCGACGAGCGTGTACAGCCGCCATAATATAAATCGGTAATTTATGAAATCGTGGATTGTTATGAATGGATCGGATATGATAATTTTATCAAATCACAACATTCTAAAGAAGTTTTCACTTTAAAAATTTATGGAGTTTAGACCTCGTAAGAGATGTAGGAAGTCGACGGACGCACGTGGCTCAAGACCGTGCTTTTTCACATACCTTGGGATCTATGTTCAACAGTGGACTTGCGAAGGGCTATAATGATGATGAGGACTAACATAGAATGACTCGTTTCCAGTAAGAAGGTTCTCCGGTTCTCTACACTCACCATACGAAACATAGCAACATTAAACTGCCATTTTAAGCTGGTATTCTGTAAGAGCATGGTCCTTCCCTGGTTGCGCCGACCCGTTCTTGATACAGCTATACGGCTGTAGCATGGCTGTAACACGAATAATACCGACATAGCAAAGCGACTGTGTAAGGCCATTTTTACACCAAGCATGACGCAATCACGTCGCGCAGCCAACAACGTATACACAGTTCTAAGGTACTATAGCACCTATCGTCCGCTTGGTTGCGCAACCAATTTGGTCGCACAGCAGCACATACGCTTGTACAGAAATTTACTGGCGGCACAGACGCGCTAGATGCATAACCAGTCAAATGAATAGCGCTGTATAGCTTCTCATACACTACACTCGAACTCTAGTGGCTCCGTATAGGTCTATAGTACTATAGTACGTATCCAGGTTAGGTACGTACTATAGTGGCACGGTAGGGTCCTAATACTGGTCGGAATCGTGGTTGATTTGGTTTTAACGTTTGGATTCGTTTTAATGTGTAAATGTTATGATCAATATCGATTAAAAGTCTATATCTTTTTTTATATATTCTGTGGTAGGACTCCTATGTGTAGGAATCCGTCAATGATAAAGACCGCCTTAATGAGAAGTTTTTTATATATGTGGTAGGACTCCTCGGTCTAGGAATCCGTCAATGATAAAGACCGCCTTAATGAAAAGTTTGTTATATATGTGGTAGGACTCCTCTGTCTAGGAATCCGTCAATGATAAAGACCGCGTTAATGAAAAGTTTGTTATATATGTTGATAAAGACTGCCTTAATGAAAAGTTTTTTATATATGTGGTAGGACTCCTCTGTCTAGGAATCCGTCAATGATAAAGACCGCCTTAATGAAAAGTTTGTTATATATGTGGTAGGACTCCTCTGTCTAGGAATCCGTCAATGATAAAGACCGCCTTAATGAAAAGTTTGTTATATATGTTGATAAAGACCGCCTTAATGAAAAGTTTTTTATATATGTGGTAGGACTCCTCTGTCTAGGAATCCGTCAATGATAAAGACCGCCTTAATGAAAAGTTTGTTATATATGTTGATAAAGACCGCCTTAATGAAAAGTTTTTTTATATATGTGGTAGGACTCCTCTGTCTAGGAATCCGTCAATGATAAAGACCGCCTTAATGAAAAGTTTGTTATATATGTTGATAAAGACCGCCTTAATGAAAAGGTTTTTTATATATGTGGTAGGACTCCTCTGTCTAGAAATCCGTCAATGATAAAGACCGCCTTAATGAAAAGTTTGTTATATATGTAGTAGGACAGTGCGTGCACCGTGCACTGCTGTGTTTTCGTTTGAAGGGTGTTGAGTGGTTAGTATAAACTAACTACCTATATTTATGCATTCCATCTTATTCCTCAGATATGACAACTCATCGGTAACCTCCTTTATTTGAAGTTGTCTCAAGGTGTCCATGGACTGCAGTAACCATTTTTGAGTGGACTGAAAGTTCGTTTGTCACTTGATTTTATTAAAAAATAAAACTTATGACACCTGCGGGATGAGATTGATTCTCTTAGGCCACCACTATATGGTGGATTAAGACTATTGTTCTTCTTCGAGTGCCTCTCCGACTAGCGAAGGTTGGCAGTCAGCTTTGAATACTCATTCTTGTTCTTCACGAGGCGAACTGTTGTTGTGATTTGTTAATACTATAGTACAGCGTTATACTTAATTTTACACTAATTATAATAATATCATAAACGTGTTAATTTTTTTTATTGAAGGTTCTACTGCGCTGCAATACTCGGCACTGGATACATAGCATACAGCCAAATGAAACGAAACAAGGCAGAAATGAAAGAAATAATTCAATTGAAGAACTACATGGCAGAACCCATCACACCACTGTCTCAGTTGGAAAAGAACCAAGATGATATGAAAACACAGATGGAACTGCTTATAATGAGAATACAGGCTGAGTTCTGTAGGGCTCTCGAGAAAGAGGAAGACCAGGTAAGTCGCAAAGAATAAAAGATGAAGTGTGTAGTGAAATCATTATCGGGCCAAAAGTTATTAGAATGATCTTAAGGTTAGGTTGGTTATACATTAATGTGGAACCTACAATACGAGCAAGGAATATTGCGACATCATCTTTGGCTCTTTTTTTCCCGACTAACCCGGAAAGAGAATCATGTGGAGATACATATTTGTTGGTCTGCTGCTTTGTGATCTGTAGTTTAAACTTTTTGGCACATTTTGAAGTGGGACTTACACAAATCTAAAAAATATTTTTGGCTCGAATTAATCGATTGAGAGAAAATTGCGGGTCGTTCTATCGCTACATCATTCCTTGTGAAGTTACAGCCTATCAAAGTCCACTGCTGAACATAGGCCTCCCACATAGATTGTCTCATACGTGGAATATTTGCCATATTTGCCTCGCTTGGCAAGTGGGTTGGCTACTGTAGTTTTTTATTTTTATTTTTAATCACGATACGGCAATACACGATTACATATTTTGTTAATGAACGAATAATCATCCCAAATGACCGTGTAGTGCCGGTGTAAGAATATCCAGTACCCCATATCGTCCCGTAGGTGTCGTAGGAGGTGACAGAGGGATACAAACCATGAGATGGGCAACAGCGTTTTCCTAATTACAACTAAAAATAAAACTGCGGTTGCTAACCATACAGTCTACCTGATGTTAAGTGGATGCTGTGACACATGCTACAGCTATATCAATATTATAGTTGTAGCACGAATGGGTCGGCTCGATCGGGGAAGGACCACGCTCTCACAGAATACCAGCGTAAAATAGCATTTTAACGCTGCTGTGTTTCGTTTGGTGAGTGTAGAGAACCGGAGACCCTTTTTACTTTAAAAGAGGCATTCCATCTTAGTCCTCACGGCTGACAACGCATCTGCATTTTATTCGCAAACGAGGATAGATGCAGATGTCTATGGGCCACAGCAACTATATAACATCAGGACTCTGGACTGTGTGCTTACTTGTCACTCGTATCCTATAAAAAAAACATAAGGCTCTCTATGGGGGAGGCCTATGTCAAGCAGACTTTTAATAGGCTACAACGGTAATAAAAAAAAATAACTCTAGCGTGACTTCCCTTGCTGGCGTTTTGAAGTGCCTCAATATCCCGTTAACAGTCCACTATCAGGTTTACATCCCCAGCTGGATATGAACCTTCCTCATAGTATCGAGGATTTGCTTAATAGCTTGACAAGTTTATTGACGGAAGCAGTTCCAGAAGTCACACGTCTTCGACACTCCTCACTATCATCCATCGTCCATCGGGATTACATCTAGGTAACGTTTTTTATACGTAAAAGGCTGGTAATCAATCACACAGCCCTCCTGATGGTAAGTAAATGCTGTAGCATTAAGTATTGACATAGTTGATATGGCACTTATTCACGATTGGGTATCAATTTGCAAATACTCTGTCACCTTTTGGAACTAGCATGGCATGCACCATCATTTCCAGTCAAAAGGCTATCCGGTTCTTGTCTCTCACTATACGTAACGCAGCGGAATAATGCTGCTATTTCACATTGATTGTGCGTGATCCTCTCTTGGTAACTATAATGAAGCTGTAGCTCTCAGAAATGACGAGATCTCTTTGAAATTTTCCCTAGTCGTCTCCTAGGATACTCTCAATATGAAATGTCGTGTTGGATGCCGCAACACTATCACCATCATCATCATTACAGCCTATCACAAGTGCACAGCTATAAATAGGCCTCCCCCATGGAATGCCCACAAAATGCGGTCCTACTCCACCTGCACCTCTCACCAGCTCGTCACTCCATCTAGTGGAAGGTCGCTTTACATATAGTATAAATGCAGATCATACAAGATATGTTTCTCTTGTAGGCATGGGAGGACGAAAAGACCGCCGACGATTATGATTTTGACAACGATATATTTTTGCTATCACCGGTACGAATTTTATACTTAACTTACCTTAAAATACACGTAGTTTATTGTCATACAGAACATGTGAACAGGAAAGAGTCTCGGTTTCCTACAATCTTATATGAATTTTAGACAAGTACTCGTCGAGACTCCTCTACAATAGGAGAGGTGGACTTTTACGGGCTGATGCAGAAGAAGAGTACTTAGATTTGCATTCGCATTTCATCATTGTACGTGGTAGAGCCATACTGCAGCTATATTAGTAGTATAGTTGTAGGACGAATAGGTCGGCTCGACCGGGGAAGGACCACGCTCTCACAGAATACCAGCGTCAAATAGCAACTTAACACTGCTGTGTTTAGTATGGTGGGTATAGAGCCCGGAGACCCTTTTTACTGAAAAAAAGGAGGCATTCCATCTTAGCCCTCACGGGTGACAACGCATCTGCATTTGGATTTGCAAACGAGGATAAATGTAGATGTCTATGTCATCTGATGGTAAGTGGTTGCCACAGCAACCACTTACCATCAGATGGACTGTGTGCTCGTTTGTCACCCTATCTAATAAAAAAATACAGTTATTTTTTTAGATAGTTTTTTTGATTTGCAAAAAATATTGTACTTCGTATGCCGACAAAGTAGGACATGGTTAAACTTGATTATATATGTAGCTTACATCTATGTTATACCTATGATCCATCAAATAAATGATTCTGATTCTGATAGAACCGTTGCAGTTCTGTAAATATCGCCATAAATTTCATACTACTCTATCAACTTGATTTCGATCCCGCCGTGAGTCAGCACTAAAAAAAATGATTATACTCATGACCGAGCACTTAAGTCATTAAATATACATTTTTTTTCAATATTTTTGTGACATCTACTAAAAATCGGTTAGACTGTATACTCGTTTTACTACCTTACTTAATACAAAGACATTTTGCACTTCTCACATTGCTTACTCATACAATTTAAGCTAACAAAATCGTTCCATTCCAAGGTTTAAATCGATTCCAGGAGGCTAAGTTCAAAGTGGACAGGTGGACAAGAAAGGAGGGGGGTGGAGGGATAACTTGCGTGCTGCAAGACGGTCGCGTGTTCGAGAAGGCCGGCGTCAACATCTCCGTGGTGCATGGCAAACTGCCGCCCGCAGCCGTGCAGCAGATGCGAAGCAGGTACCGTGTAGCGTGTAGTGTAATGACCTTCAGATCTAATTACGGTCATGGCAGCAAGTCTCAACTGAGACTATAAATCGGCAAATCTGAACCATATGCGAAGGACCCGAATAACCTGATAATACAGAATGTACATACAAATATGTAGTACAATCTCCCACATATTGTACCAGAAGGCATGCAAGAATTATAATTAAATACCTTAATTTCAGAGGACAGGATTACAGTACATGAGCGTGTGTGCAAACACAGGTGCACTCTCTATTCCCTCACTTTCATAGTCCGATGGGACGGCAATCCGATACAAACGGAGAGATCAGACGCAGGACCAACGGCTTTACGTGCTTTCCAAGTTTGAAACACCGCCTACTTCCTGCCTCCTTTCTGCTACTGAGAATTTCTTGACAGAAAAGTCCAATGGCTAAATTCTGCACGATACCGGGATTCGAAACTGAGACCACATAATAAAGTAGACGTGCTTACCACTAGACCAATGAGACAGTCAAACCGTGTAGTGTATGTGTGCATACACTAGGTGTTAACATCAGGTAAACTGTAAGTGCGTGTGTCACATCCATTTTGTAAAAAAAGTGGTGGTAGTGTGTCATGAATGAGTTAAGTTTCATCATCACCATGCAACAGTGTACCTACTGTCACTGTTTTAAGATGTTACAGTTGGGAAACGAATGTACTTGTGCAGAGCATCGGTGGGGGTACTGCGGGGCAGAAGGCGGGCCGAACTTGTGCTAGCGCACTTCACTGAGTCTGATAGACAATACATGCGATTGGTGCGCGCGTGTTTTATAGTATTTATTTAACTAATTTGAGTGCCATTTTCGAAAAATATAATATCTTTAATGGTGAAGTACTGTTATAGTTATATGAGTCACGAAGTAAAATTGAATGGAAATAACGGCCATGCTTATGTTTCCATCATTTTAGTTTTGATAAAAGTGTTTATCCGAATTGCGAATACACTACATAATTAAATTTAACAATAGAAAACTGAAAATATCTAAAAAACAAAGTGTCATGAAAATATTTGGCAGTACATACAACTTGTAAATGTGTTTTTTCTTGTAATAAAAAAATATCTTGTTCAATAAATGTTTTTAAATTATAAGGTTAGAAGTATGTAAATAATGTTAGTAAATGATAATGACTATTATAATATTGAAAATTATTTTATTTCCATTTTCGTGACAACCCCTAGCATACACGCAGGCCGCGCAAATACCTACAGCATCGCCTGACGTCAAAGGCGTTTCACAACTGTAAGGTCTTTAAATTATGCTTCTGTCGTGTTCCAGTTTTTAAAGAGGTTCTCAGGCTACGAGGCTTTCTATCTTGGTCCTTAATTGTGAGCCTTTAGAATTGGCTGCAGATGTACATAGACCTGTGAATAGAATAGAATAATTTTTATTCAACGTAAATTGCTAGAATACTTATTTAAAGTCAATCATGCTTTTACCACTGGTTTGGAAAGAAACTTCTGTCCTGAGAAGAACCAGCAAAAATCCATCGGGACTCTTTTTTAAACATTTAATTACAGTATAATGTGTGTGTGTATACTGTTGTGTTATATAATTAAATAGAAAAACATTTGGAAACAGCATGGTAGCGATCACTTCATTTCCAGGAGTTATGTTGGATTGTGTTGTTGTTATCATTTACCACCAGATCGACGAGCATGGGCTCGGTAACATAATGTATTTAATGAGCTGTATGGTAGTGGCATTGCAGAACCGCAGTCCTGCTATGAGCATCTCAAACATACTAGATGTATTTACCCTGACGGCTAAACAACCGATTGCAGCTGTATTTCCGGCTTTTAAGAAAGGAGTAGGCTCTATTCTTGTGCAAATACAACAGATGCAGGTAGTTTCAGGCCAGGGGGCGAGCAATAGTGCTAGGTCTAATGCAAGGTTTCATCTTGACAGAGGAAAGAACCTACAGTCGTCAGAGCTGCCGTTCTTCGCAGCGGGCGTGAGTGCAGTCATCCACCCGAGGAACCCGATGGTCCCCACCATACACTTCAACTACCGCTACTTCGAAGTACAGGATAAAGATGGTAAGATAGTTTCCACTCATATGTTAAAAATTTTACAATTGTGCAGCACTCTATCTTAAACTGTAGTGTTGACACTGCATCTGAATTTAAATTCTTAATCTTGTATCACGAATGAGTCGGCTCGACCGGGGTAGGACCACGCTCTCACAGAATACCAGCGTAAAATAGTAGCTTACTATACTGTTGTGGAACCGGAGACACTTTTTAGTGGATCTTAATCTTTAGGGGTGATAACGCATCTATATTTTGATTCTTAATTCAGGATATACGTAGATATCTATGGGCTACAGCATCAACTTACCATCAGGTGGACTGTCTGGTCGTATGTCACTCTCACTTCTATTAAAAATATGCTACAATAAATTATGTTAAAATATGCTTGCTTTTTCGTTTCAGGTGTACAGTGGTGGTTCGGCGGGGGTACGGACTTGACCCCGTACTACCTGAATGAAGAAGACGCCGTACATTTCCACCTCACCCTCAAGCACGCTTGCGACGAACACGACCCCTCTTACTACCCTAAGTGAGTCCCTTATGAGGTTATTATTATAAAAAATTAAATTCTATCTAACTGAATTCGATGTAACATTATCATGATTACACCTTATTACTATTTTGCTTCTGGACATAGGTCTACCCTATAGAAAATTACAAACCACAGCCTTGAAATACCTTCATCCATCAACTCGACGATTTTTCCGGACCGATACGACTTAGGGACCTTCTTTTTTTTCAATATAGATTATAAATAATACTTATTGAAAGTCACTCTTTTGTATAATTACCACTGGTTCTTCACGAAACGAGCTTACTTTGCCTAAGGTTAACCCTATTACTAAGCCTCCGCTGTCCATCCGTCCGTCTGTCTGTATGTCAGCGGGCTGTTTATGATCCGTAATAGGTAGACAGTTAAAATTTTCACAGAATGTAGATCCCCTACTGGAAACGTGTTTTACGATGGTACGGAACCCTTTATACGCGAGCCCGACTCACACTTGGCCGGCTTTTTTAAAAGCCGGCCAAGTGTGTGTGAGGGGTAACTCGGTGTTTACCATGGGTGCTGTAAAGCACATGAACAATAATATTATTTTATTTCTTTATTTAGGATAACAAACGACAGTACACTAAATCTTAAAAATAAGAACAATAATATTATTTTATTTCTTTATTTAGGATAACAAACGACAGTACACTAAATCTTAAAAATAAGAACAATAATATTATTTTATTTCTTTATTTAGGATAACAAACGACAGTACACTAAATCTTAAAAATAGGAACAATAATATTATTTTATTTCTTTATTTAGGATAACAAACGACAGTACACTAAATCTTAAAAATAAGAACAATAATATTATTTTATTTCTTTATTTAGGATAACAAACGACAGTACACTAAATCTTAAAAATAGGAACAATAATATTATTTTATTTCTTTATTTAGGATAACAAACGGTAGTACACTAAATCTTAAAAATAAGAACAATAATATTATTTTATTTCTTTATTTAGGATAACAAACGGCAGTACACTAAATCTTAAAAATAAGAACAATAATATTATTTTATTTCTTTATTTAGGATAACAAACGGCAGTACACTAAATCTTAAAAATAAGAACAATAATATTATTTTATTTCTTTATTTAGGATAACAAACGACAGTACACTAAATCTTAAAAATAGGAACAATAATATTATTTTATTTCTTTATTTAGGATAACAAACGACAGTACACTAATTCTTAAAAATAAGAACAATAATATTATTTTATTTCTTTATTTAGGATAACAAACGGTAGTACACTAAATCTTAAAAATAAGAACAATAATATTATTTTATTTCTTTATTTAGGATAACAAACGGCAGTACACTAAATCTTAAAAATAAGAACAATAATATTATTTTATTTCTTTATTTAGGATAACAAACGGCAGTACACTAAATCTTAAAAATAAGAACAATAATATTATTTTATTTCTTTATTTAGGATAACAAACGACAGTACACTAAATCTTAAAAATAGGAACAATAATATTATTTTATTTCTTTATTTAGGATAACAAACGGTAGTACACTAAATCTTAAAAATAAGAACAATAATATTATTTTATTTCTTTATTTAGGATAACAAACGACAGTACACTAAATCTTAAAAATAAGGACAATAATATTATTTTATTTCTTTATTTAGGTTAACAAACGGTAGTACACTAAATCTTAAAAATAAGAACAATAATATTATTTTATTTCTTTATTTAGGATAACAAACGACAGTACACTAATTCTTAAAAATAAGAACAATAATATTATTTTATTTCTTTATTTAGGATAACAAACGACAGTACACTAATTCTTAAAAATAAGAACAATAATATTATTTTATTTCTTTATTTATGATAACAAACGGCAGTACACTAATTCTTAAAAATAAAGCGCACACACGCACACACGATATACTGATCGTATAACTTTGGAACGACTTGACCATGCGAGTATGCGGCTTAAATAACTACACAATATTTTGATAATCAATATATGTTTAATTGTTTTGCCGAGACTATGTTCCATAGTCTTAACTATGCTAGGATCCAATAATAGGTGGCAAAGTTATTGAAAATTTCTATATATTATGGGCCGAAACGACGCGTATTCACAATATATATTAATTTAGTGTCAAATAAAGGAAATCAAACCTGGACCCGATTGGTGATCAAGTCATAAATAAATTTTGCCTTTACCATGTATAGTCTGAATTTGGTGTGACAATCGTCGCGCCACCTACCGGAAAAGGCAGAACAACGTCAGCCGGGTCAGCTAGTACTAGTACATGCATATATCATCATCTCTTCAAGATTCAACTCATCATCTTTTGAAGGTTCAAAAAATGGTGCGACGACTACTTCACGATAACGCATCGCGGCGAACGGCGAGGAGTTGGCGGTATCTTCTTCGACGACGTGGACTACCCCAGTCAGAAAGAGGCCTTCAATTTCGTCACGTCTTGTGCCGAGGCTGTCATACCCAGCTATATGCCTCTTGGTAAGTTCATGTACCTTGCTGTGGTAAAAGAATCCACTTCCTCATATCATGTGGGTATCGTGAAAGACGACAGAGGGGATCGACGGGTGATGGACGGCAGCATCTCCCTCATAGGAACTGCGGTGACATGCAATGAGGCGATTATGGCAAATATCCACCTTATGAAGCAATCTATGAACAAGACACAAGACACCGCCGAACATTGGCCTACCCCAATGTGTGCTGTAAACGGTCCTGAGTAACCTGCATCTATCCACGCCTTCACTCCATCTAGACCTCACTAGGCCCCTCCGCTGCCATACACCATGCTTACTGGTACGAGTCTGCCACTCACCAACCTTTTTATCCCTGGGTATGGTGGCTGCATTATTTATTATGGTTTACTCTTAGGTATTTTTTATATAATAAGGGTGACAAACGAGCACTGCCCACCTGATGGTAAATGGAATAGACATCTACATTTATCCTCCATAAAGAATCAAATTGCAGATGCGTAATCAACCCTGAGGACTTAGATGGAAGGTTTCGTTTCCATTAAAAGGGTCTCCCGTTCTCTACACTCACCATACTAAACACAGCAACGTTAAGCTGCTATTTTACGCTGGTAATCTGTGAGAGCGTGGTCCTTCCCCGGTCGAGCCGACCCATTCGTGGTACAACCATAGTATAGCTGCAGCATGGCTCTACCGCGTATAATGTAATTGTATTGTATTGTAAACTCTAGGTAGTAGTTTTCTCCTTTATTTCTATTATAATAAAGTTTAAAATAACATATCTAGTGATTATAAATTGACACTATAATTTAAATTACTGACGAGTACTCAATCATTCATTACAAAATGACAGTGATAATAATGAAATGCTGCAGCTATGATAAGTTCATCGACCTAGCAAGTTGCTGCAGCTCTTTTTAGGAGAATGTCCTCCAGACCAAATTTCGGTCACGGTGGCCATACGAGTGTAGCGCAAGCACAGGTGCACTTTCTATTCCCCCCACTCTCATAGTCCGATGGGACGGTATTCTGACACGACCAGAGAGAGAGAGAGCAGGCGCAGGACCAAACGGCTTTACGTGCTTTCCGAGGCACGGGGGTGAGGCACCGCCAACTTCCTGACTTCGGGCAGCTACTGAGAATTTTTTCACCGGAAAACCTCAATAACTGGTTTTTACGGCCCGACCCAGGAATCGAAACCGGGACGTCATGATCAGCAGTCGCAGTTTACAACCACTAGACCAACAAGGTCGACATCTATATCAGTCTGTAGGATACTTCTACCATGGATACTGTGGCCCATAGACAACTACATTTATTCTCGCTTAAAGTTAAAAAGTTAAAGTTACAGCCTATATACACGTCCCACTGCTGGGCACAGGCCTCCTCTCAGTTCTGAGAGAGTTTTAGGGCAAGGAAAGGTCCGCCGCGCTGCCCCAATTTGTGTTGGCGAACTTCACATGTCTTCGAAATATATATTTTTTTTTTCATATATTGTCAGACATGCAGGTTTCCTCACGACGTTTTCCTTCACCGCCGAGCACGTAGTAATTGAGCACTTAAAACTTATTCTCGCTTAGAGATAAAAATATCTAAGATTGCCTTTTACTAGCTGTTAAGACTCCTGGTATCGCCTTCTATCCTATTTCTGTCGCCAAATAGCAGGGCGTGCACTGCTTTGTTCCGGTCTCAAGAGTATAGAGGACCGTGTGTAATTACTGGATGCGAAGCATTCCATCTTAGCCCTCACTGACAACCCATCTGTATCTTTCTTTGTTAGTAATTGGCTGAAAATGTTCATGGATTGCATTAGCCTCTCACCATCGACAGAAAGTTGGTTTGTAACTCGTTTTTATTAAAAAAAAAGTATAGAATGCCCTGTTACCAGTAAAAAGTAGGACTATAATTTAAAATAAAAAAAATTGTACAACCGACTTCAATATAAATTATTAAGAATAACTCAAAAACTATTGGTCAGACCTTGATCAACATTATATGGGACCACATGTGAAGCACCAGCTTTCAAATAAAAAATAAATCATTTAAATCGGTTCACCCAGTAAAAAGTTATGAGGTAACTAACACACATAAAAAACATACAGTCGAATTGAGCACCGTCTCCTTTTTGAAGTCGGTAGAAAAATAAGGATTGTGACATTAATCTGCTATAAAATTAAACATTTATCTTATATTTTATGCCGCAGTTGTGGTTGTAAAGTATCATTACCATATTAACCCTTTCGCTGTCCAGTGCACTACATATAGGTCATTGCTGTTGTCTTACTATTGTGTCTGAAAACCGGACAGTGAAAGTGCTAAGTTAATCATTTGCCGTGAAATATTTTTATTTTATATTTCATTTCATTTGAAGGTTTCACTTCTACTGCGTGTTAACTGCACACGTGTTTTTTTTTCTTTTATCCTCAGTGCAACGGCACAAGGACGACGCGTATGGCTACCACGAGCGCCAGTGGCAGCTCCTGCGTAGGGGAAGATACGTGGAGTTCAACCTAATCTACGACCGCGGCACCAAGTTCGGCCTGCACACGCCCGAAGCCAGATACGAGTCCATACTCATGTCCCTGCCACTCAACGCGGTGAGTGTTATTCCAAAATAGAAACAGAAACTTTTTTTATTCAATATAGATATAATAATACTTATTGAATGTCACTCTTTATGTTTAATTTACCGTTAATTCGGAAAATACCTCTCTTTTGGGAAGAACCAACAATAAACTCAGCGGGACTTCTTTTCTTTTTTTGAAAAAAAAAAAATATCACCAGTGTATGTAACTTAACTAAGTGTATCATTTAAGTTACCCAATTAACAACACAAAACTAATTAGAATTTGTAATATACAATATTTTATTATACCTATACAATAATTAAAAACTATAATAAAAAAAAGTCCCAGTCCCGTCCCGTCAGCCATTTCGGAGATTAGCCGGATCAAATAGACAGGCAGATATACAGTCAAAAATTTAGAAAATTGTATTTTTGTTATAAGTACCGTATATATACTTTCATGTGCTAAACGCATATGAATGTAAAAGCTGTTATGTACAAACAGAACTTCAATTTTATTTATTTATATAGATAATGCTAGATAAAATTGAACAAAATTGATAATTACGGACATAATTTCAGAAGTATGCAACATTGTATTAAAGTATTTGCGGGTGCGATAAACATGAAGCAAATACAAAGAGGAGACGTTGTAATTAAATTTCACTATGTAAAAACGCGTGACAATTTGCGGGGTGAGGGGATGCAAAGCCCCGCCCACTACACTATCTACATCTACGGATAAATAGTAAAACTACTCGAATCTTTCCATATCGATGTTGCAATGTAGCTTAGCTTCCTTGACGGTAGATGGCGGCATGTCCACAAAATGTTATAAACTATAAAATAATATTTTGGCGATAAAATTTCTTTATGTCTGAATGCAAAACAAATTTCAGCACCTTCGTATGATTATTTTACCAATACTGAGCTCTACGGACCTTTATATTTTTAGTTCACATGACACAAAGTGTCGCCATCTAGTGTCGAATATATTTAATTATATTTGAAAGCCGACGCAAAGAGATTTTTCTAGAACTATATTAATAAATTAGGTGTAAAAATATTTACAAATGTAATGTGATGCCATCCGTAACATCAGAGCGTCTATCTGAGTAGTTTTTACACAATAAAACACAACACTTCATACTTTTCTTCTTAATACTACGAAAATACACCGATTTGCGATTTTTTCAACACATAAGCGCACAGGAAGAATGTTGACAGTATACTAACTAAAGCCACGCCCCCTATGATGACGTCAGGACCTACTTAGAATCACAGTGCACAGTTGCTTATGCCGTCTCCCCTTTGTATTAGCTTCATGGCGATAAAGTCCTTTAGATAAATGAAAGAAATATAATTTACTATGCAATGATGAAATAATATATAATCTATATATTTATATGTGAAGGGAGACCTTTGTTTTGTTTTTATGCATATTTAAGAATATCCACTACCCCATATCATCTCTTGGGTGTTGTAAGAGGCGACAGAGGGAAAGTGGAACAGCAGATGGACAGTAGCATTTTCCTAATAACAACTTTAAATAATAAAAAAACTGCGGTTGCCATCTTGCTTGCCAAGCGTGGTATCTCTGGCAAAATCCCCTCAATGAAGTAATCTATGGGGGAGGCTTACGTTCAACAGTGGACTTTTATAGGCTGTAATGGATGGATGGATATTGAGCTTGAAGAAGAATTGTACTAAGCAAAAATTTATATAAAACTAGCTATTCTCCGCGACTTTGCCCGCGTGTAATTTATAGTTTTAATTTTTTTGCTCGGAGCCCTAATTCTTTTTCTAAAATAAAATTAGCCTAAGTTACTCCTTATTCTGGAGATTAGCCGGAAGAAACAGACAGGTAGAACAGAAAATTGTATTTCTGTTATAAGTATCGCATATATTTTCATATGCATTTAATAAAAAGCTGTAATTTTGTATAACAAATTCATTAAATAAAATGAAATAAATTAAACATCAATTGTTGACATGTGGCAATGACATAATGGCGATTACTGTATTTATGGTTTGAAGGCAACCAGTATGATTGCAGGCCGTGAGACATTCCATTTCAATTCTCAGTCTGTAGCTTTCTTTCTTTGTTTTATTTCCTTACAAGTGTCCATGGACTGCACTAATCATTTACCATCAAGTGTACTGTTAGTTTGTTTATCACTTCAGTTTTATAACAAATAAAGATTGAAAAGTGTAACATCAAATAATTTTGTTCAACCATAGAGTTTTTACTGGCCATTAAGGATGATTACATTATCAAAGACGTGGTAGAGCCTCGCTGCAGCTATATTATGGCGAAAGACCTCTCACAGAATACCAGCGTAAAATAGCAGTTTTGTGCTGCTGTTTCGAATGGTGAGCGTAAGGAACTGTAGACCTTTTTTACTGTAAACGAGGCATTCCATCTTAGTCCTCAGGAGTGCCAACGCATCTGCATTATGAATCTTTATCAAGGATAAATGTCTATGGGCCTCAGCATCCACTTACCATCAGGTGGACTGTGTGCTCGTTTGTCACCCTTATTCTATTATAAAAATATATATACAATATATATTTTACAGAAATGGGAGTATATGCATGAACCGAAGCAGAATTCACCTGAAGAGAAACTCATGAAGGTCCTCAAAGAGCCGAGGGATTGGCTCAACATCGAGAGGAATCAGCGTGCCACTGCGTAACTTAATAACAACTTTTAATTTACTAAGATTTACAATGTTTGGAGAGGGGTATTTTTGTATAATTTAAAATATTTTATTAATATACACATTACTGTTGATAAAGTTTTTTTTATTTGTGTTACCTTCATAGTGCCGTAACAAAGGGGAGAGGGGTCAGTGGTCCTGGGCGGCAGATTAAAATACATATAAAGAACATTGAAGCATTGAATGTTCTGAAAATAGATAATAAGCACACGAGGAAGAGAGGGGGCGGTATTTTTGGCTCTCGAGGCCTCGGGCGGCAGCAAACCTTGCTACGGCACTGTAAACATAATTACTAGTATGTTTACATGGGTACGTTACTGTAAAAAAAAGTTACCGCCTATGTATACGTCCCACTGCTGGGACCTACTCTCATTTCTGAGAGGGTTATAGGGCAAGGAAATGAGACAAGTGTTGGCGAACGTCGCATGAATGACTTTCAAATATTATTATTCTTATTTCTTAGACATGCCGGTTTTCTCACAATGTTTTCCTTCACCGCCGAGCACGTGTTAAATCAGCATTTAAAATTGATTCGAGAGAATTTTTCATTACATTGCCGAGAAATAAACCGGTAACACCGGCCTCCCACCGCGTAAATCAACACATGCCACAGCAGAGCAGATGAAAAGTTTTGGAATTACTCCCATCTCTTTGCTAATTTGGTGTGTCCCGGAGGCAGTTTCCACCCCCAGAACCTCTACGATGCTATTATCGCCTAACATATAACAGATAACATATTCATAGATTGAAACCATTTCTGATCCATCGCCCGAATCTGGGTCACTTTACTAGGCACTCTGAGTCCCAATCCCCGTTACCTGTTTCTGGTAACGACACTATCACTAAAAGGATCTTCGGAGGTTTCCTCACCTATTGGTATCTGGCTCCATGAATTTGAAGATGGCATGGAAGCTACAAGTTTGTATTACTTTCAAATAATTGTTGTGAGCATGATTATTTATACATGTGCCACTTATACTGGCAAAATGTTACACTATATACCAACATTTTTTTAAATATCATACATGACCAGTATGGTCACACTGAGACTGTGAATGGTTTGTGCACAGATGCATATTATATTTGTAAGATGTCTGTGGGTAATTTTCTGTTAGAATGATAACTATAACAAAGGTGGCAACACGGGCCACCGTTGGACCGGGAGGAGTTGCGTTTTAGCACGATACAGAACTGTCTGTCATTTTTCGCGGGGGGAACCTGCGCTCACAAATACAATCGTCTGTCAATACGAAACTCACACGTTACAGTTAAAACTAAAAAGTAACAACGTCACATACACATTGTTACATTACAACAGTATCGCTCAGCGACAGCGACAACTTGGATACAGACTTGGTTCATTCAGATCGATTTGCACATTGTATGAAGGCGAGCGACCTGTCCGAAAATCAATACGAATCAACACGACCGTTATTATTCATAATTTTTAAGTTTAATAAGAAGTAAATAGGAATAATGTGATTTATAATTACATATTTAATAATTTTGTAAATTTGACGTGGCAGGTCTCTTGTCCAGCAAAAAACTGAACAATTCGGCGTATCTGTAGGACGTGGATTCAGCCGCGCAATTAGATTAAGTCTTGTGAGCGGTGCGGCTTCTAATACACATAGGACCGCGTTGACTTATACTTTGACATAGGGGAACGTCTGCGTATGGCTACACCCATAGGGCAACACAGGAGAGGACAAGCCATAGCGTTATTTTCCGATACCAAACTGTCTGTCATTTTTTTCGAGGGGAAATCTGCGCCACGCACACTTTCTCAGACACATATACAAAAATAATCGTCTATCACTAGGAAACTCACACATAATAATTAAAATAATACATTTACAGTTTCACATACACATTATGTGTGTCATAACAGTGTAATGAAGTGACGCAACTACATTGACAAGTTGCACTATAAGTACCATAGTATTAGTATAATACTCGTAAGTATTGTATTATATTTGATTTGATGCAATTTTAATATTAAGCTATATTATAATAAAGCTCACTATATATATATATATATATATATATATATATAGGTATATAAATAAATCAGAAAACATAATTTCAAAAATAATTGTATATACAAGGGACATGGCTGTAAAGACCATATTTGTCATTTGCAATTTTTATCGATAACTATTTATAAACCGGTATATCAAAACTATCGTTCGGTGATAGCAACAACTCGCATACAGACTCAGATCAGTCGCACGACTAAACCGCATATTGTATAAGGGCGAGTGGCCTGTGGTGGTAAACAAATCCGAAACAACACGGCCGTTACTATAGCAATTATGGACTGTTATTATTGTAATTTTTAAGATTAAAAAGAAATAAATAGTACTAATACTATAAAGAATTACTAACATATAGGTTCTCGAGTGGCAGCCTCGTACCGGTAGGCGAAGTGTAGGGTGACCCCCCACTAGATGGAGTCACGACCTGGTGAGACATGTAGGCAGTCAATGGATGCAGGTGGCTTAAGTCCGTGCTTTGTAACATAAGTTGGGGGAGGCCTATGTTCAGCAGTGGACTTGTGGACTTGTGAATGATGATGATGATGAAAAGGTAACGCTATCTTTTTGTAAATTTGACATTTCAGATTTCTTTTTGCAGCAAGAAACTGACCAATTTGGCATTTTTGTAGGACGTCGCGCAACTAAATTTAGTCTAGTGAGCAGTGCGGTTGAAACTATTTTTTATTCGTTATCACGTTGCCATGTTGCAGCTATATTAGTAGTATAGTTGTCTCTCACAGAATACCAGCGTCAAATAGCGGCTTAACGCTGCGGTGTTTCGTATGTTGAGTGTAGAAAACCGGTGACCCTTTTTACTGGAAAAGTGGCATTCCATCTTAGTCCTCACGGGTGACTACACATCTGCATTTTGATTCGCAAACGAGGATAAATGTGTCTATGGGCCGCAGCAACCACTTACCATCAGGTAGACTGTGTGCTCGTATGTTACGCTGTCCTATAAAAAAAAACTACTTTTATTGTAAACATAGGGCCGCCGTGTCATATATGGACTTATACTTTGGTACAGGGTAAGGCCTGCGTATGGCTGCTCCCGTCTGGTACGTTGGCGGCCAGTGTTGCTTTATGGACCTACTCCCCACCGATCCGCCGGTAGTACGTGTTGCTCAAAGCTATAAAATAAAAAATCTAGCCGGGTATTAGTGTTCTGTGATCTATGCTATTGTATTGGCACATTGGTTTAATTGCCATAAACGTATAAATTTTACCCGAGTTACCTTTAAACGCTTAAAGATAAAGATTTAGGCAATTTGAGATTGTTACAAGAAATGTTAGCCAAATGTATAATACAAACTAAAACACATTGAAGCTATGACGTATCGGAATGTTGGTAAATTTGCTTGGTTTGAGTGTATGACTTTTAAATTATAATTATCAAAATACACAAAAACCACAAATAAAGTGGTTTGATTGCAATAATTTAAAATAAAAAATTTTGTACAGCCGACTCCAATATAAGTTATTAAGAATAACTCAAAAACTGTTAGCTTGACCTTGATCAAATTCATATGGAACCACGCGAGATCTACCAGCTTTCAAATAAAAAAAGAATTATCGAAATTCCACCCAGTAAAAAGTTATGAGGTAACACATATAAAAAAAAACAAAAAAAAATACAGTCGAATTGAGTATCGTCTCCTTTTTGGAAGTCGACAGAAAAATATGTGTTTTACTTCTATTTTCGTTTATAAAAAAGTATGATATCAATAACTGACAACTGTCGTCATTGGTATGGAGGGTAGCTTCTACCCTCCATAGTCGTCAGTAATAATGTTCAATCAGTAAAATAATTAAAATTCATCTATAAATTACTTGTTACTTCGTAACATACGAGGGTGGATTGAAAAGTACTCGGCCTAACCAAGAAAATAAACAAATACTAAATCAGTTATATTTTTATTTTTCTACATAATCACCATCAAGTTCAATACACTTTTGCCACCTCCCCTTCCAAGCATTTAGACCGTTGAAAAAAAATGATTCTTCCTTAGAGGCAAAATATGCGTCTACAGCTGCTTTGACCTCGTCGTTTGTCGAAAATCTTTGACCTCCCAAGTGCTTTTTTAGGTTAGGGAACAGAAAAAAGTCTGATGGTGCCAGATCAGGTGAATACGGCGGATGCGGTAACAGTTCAAAGCCACAGTTGTGAATTTCAGCCATTGACTGTACTGACGTGTGAACACGGGCGTTATCTTGATGAAACAGGACTTTTCTTCTGAGCATTCCTCGACGTTTTTCTTTTATTTCCTCTCGTAAACGACGTAGTAAGGTGCAGTAGTAATCAGAGTTTATATTCTGACCCCTTTCAAGATAATCAATCATAATCACACCTTTCGAGTCCCAGAATACTGAAGCCATCACCTTATTTGCCGACAAAATCGACTTAGCCTTTTTAGGGGGTGGTGAACCAGGTCTTCTCCACTGTTTTGATTGTTGTTTTGTTTCCGGTGTACAGTAATGAACCCATGTTTCGTCCATACTAACAAAACGATTCAAAAAATCATCTGCATCGGCTTCAAATAACTCCAAACAGTCGCGTGAAATAGTCAATCGCGTCCTTTTTTGTTCAACTGAAAGCAGTCGCGGAACCCACCTCGCAGACACCTTGTGGAAACCCAACTCGTTGACAATGATGTTTTGAGTTCGTTCATAAGAGATGCCTATAATCTCGGCTATCTCTCTAATTTTTAATCTGCGGTCTCCCATTATTAAATCAAGTACTTTTTTAATATTTTCGTCAGTAGTTGACGTCGAAGGCCTTCCAGAGCGGGGTTCATCTTTCACACTCTCTCTACCACGCTTAAATTCTGCTATTCATTTTTTGACGGATGAATATGACAGAGCACAATCGCCTAATGTACTGACCATGTCATCATGGATGGCTTTTGATGATAGCCCCTTCTTATGGAGGTACTTAATGACGGCACGCTGCTCGATTTGCTCCATTCGCGGAAATTATGTCCGATTACTTTGTTAATAAATTTATAAAATCACAACTAATTATCGCACACGTTTCGAACTTCACACAATGAACTAGTCTGAACTGAACTAAATAATGTGGGTAGATTTGATTTTTAGAATTGAATGGATCTGTGTTAGGCCGAGTACTTTTCAATCCACCCTCGTATTAAAGTAAATCCATCTACGGAAACTTCGTAACAAAGTTTAGTCTGATATACTGTGTGACTTTCATGAAATACTTTACGTTGGCTGAATCCATTGGTAGTTGCCAAACTAGTAAAAATAAGGAAATTTTTAAAGTTACACATAGCAATAAATACAAATATCAAATACAAACGTCAGAGTTTTGGCGGGAAATTGACCGGCGGCGGTTTGCAGCTCCTGTATTATTGTTTAAATAATGGTTTGAAGTGGACTTTGATATGTAAAAGTGTTGCGATTTTGTGTATTAACTGTCTACGCATGTGAACTATTAGTGGAAACAGTGAAACAAGTGCTCTGATGGTGATGGATTCTCAAGATAAGCTGTTTGTTTGCATAGGCACCTTTAGATACCATCGCCAACTATCAGCTGTCTGCTGGATCAAGTTGCCGCCAAAATCTCCCAAGAACTGCACAATGTGACGCATCAACATATTGTGAAGCAGTATACTATGAAGGAGTAAGGAAATTACAATAAACCGAATAAAAATACTTAAGACTTGGCCTAAAGGTCTAGATACCAGGCCATAAACTCCAAAAAAAAAATACAAACGTCAGGAGTTTTGACGGGAACTTGACCGACGGTGGTTTGCTGCTCCTGTATTATAGTTTAAATAATAGTTTGAAGTGGATTTTGATATGTAAAAGTGGTGCGACTTTATGTATTAACTGTCTACGCATATGAACTACTAGTGGAAACGGTGAAACAAGTGCTCTGATGGTGATGGATTCTCAAGATAAGCTGTTTGTCTGCATAGGCGCCTTTAGATACCATCGCCAACTGTCAGCTGTCTGCTGTGTGTCTCAAGTTGCCGTCAAAATCTCCCAAGGGCTGCACAATGTGACGCATCAACATATTGTGAAGCAGTGAATTATGAAGAATGATTATACATTTGGAGAAATTATAACAAACCGAATAAAAATACTCAAGACTTGGCCTAAAGGTCTAGATACCAGGCCAGAAACCCCGAAAAAAAATACAAATGTCAGAATGTCAGATGTCAGTTGTCACTTTGGCGTTTAGCGATAGTTGTATTTGTGATTTTTATATATTTTGTGGTATGTTTACTTGGCGATTTAATTGCTTTACGCGAATTTTTGCACGTCATTGAAACAACAACGCGTTATAAAGTATCCAATCGTTACGACATTTTCATAATAAAAGGGACACAAATATGTGGCGCGGCTAACGGATGCATTTCCTCCATTCATATGCCTAAAACGTTTAGCGTTACATTTAAATTCGTGATGTTATTGCTAATTGGAACTGAAGATGCCTTTTAAATTGAAGTTGAAGAAAACGCGGCAGTACAATGTAGCTTCTAAGAGCTTGTTCGTGATTAGCGTTGAATTGCTAGACGGTGGTGTAGCAGATTGTACTCTATCGGTCGATAGTACGGGGCAGGAGTGCCTTGATAATGTTTGTCAGCGGCAGGCTATAAATCAACCGGAGTTTTTTGGACTCAGATACGTCAATCGTGGTCAACAGCCGCGATGGGTCCAATTAGAACGCCCTTTGAAACGTCAGTTGGACAAATATGCATCATCCCACCAGCTGTACCTGCGTGTTATGTATTATGTCATATCTGGCACCAGTCTCATCACGGACGAAGTCACGCGATACCATTACTTTCTCCAGTTAAAGAATGATTTGATTGAGGGACGTATTATTTGTGATTGCCAACAAGCTGTCGTTTTGGCATCGTATAGCCGTCAAGCTGAATACGGAAATCATGATCGGGAGAGGCATACAGTGGAATACCTGAAAAATCTCTTGACATTTCCCAAGCAAATGCTAGATGGTGGTCAAATCATAGATGGTAGTACATTGGCGGAGACGGGGCGGCTAGAATGGCTGACTGCAGCAGTTATACAACATCACATGTCTCTTCACAACATGTCACAGGTAACTAATTACCATGTCCAATACATATTGTTATATACAGGGTTAATTTTCAAAGAGTAGCCAAATTTTAAACTTAAGTTCAAATATATAAGTAATAGCATACTGTTATTGCAGATGTTGAAAATATGAGTAAATAAGGCTTCTATTTTTTGTATGATTAAGATTGACCCTTACAAATGTGTGTGTGCGCAGTAAAATCAGTTAAAATAATGCTTTACCACACATTTTGAATTTAAAGGATAAAAGGACAGAATGTTTGAGATTTTATTAATTATGTTTTGTTCAGCATTTGCCTATATTACTTTTTCTGCAAATTTGGCCGGTTATTGCAAAATAACCCTGTATATTGTATCAATGTAAAATATCGACTTTTTGTTTGGTTATTATTTGGCAGTTCATTTCCCTTTGTTTCTATCAGCACATCAATTTTCCATATTAGATCCTTATTAGTATAAATGGTAATTGAAAAACCATATTGCTTAGTTTTCTCTAATAAATGCTTATAATCCCAAAAATACAAATAAAATAACAACTTTCATTCATAGTTCCTTTAATTACATGTTCAATAAAGTTCTTGTTCATAAAATTCCCAAATTTATTGGACATTGAATAAAACTAAAATAGTTTTATTCAATGTGTAGTATTTGTGTAAATATAAGAAATCGTTATTGGATGTTTCAAGAACTGTTCCTTACCATAAGAAGTGTTTCTTTGACATAAGTGATATCAAAGAACTTTTAAATAAATAAAATAGTAGCAGTAGTAGTATCTAAAATTTATCAAGAGCATAACTTAAATTGAAACTTAAAAACCCCCAAAACAAAAAGAGCCAATGATCTTCAAAAGAGTGAACCGATTTTAATATAACAAAAGTCTAAGAACCACTGCTAGAAAAGCTGCTTTTAAATAAAAAAAAAAAACTACACCCAGATTGGTTCACCTGTTTAAGAGCTATGGTGCCACATTGCGATCAAACATATAACACCCCTCTATTTGCATGGGGGGTTAAAAAATAAACTTTTGTTTTTCTACCTGTTCATAACAAAGTAAAGTGGTAACAAATGACTACAACTTGAACATGCTTTTTGAAAAATTTCACAATTGTCTATGTAATTACAAAATATCTTTATGTAGTCCATCATTTAAATGTTAGGGTAAATTTTTCAACACAAGGTTTAAAAGTTCTCTTAATTATATTATCTAAAGTATTAATATTTCTCTATCAAGGATTGGATGAAATTCATATAGCTCAAGCATATCTCTGATGAACTGGGCCCCAGCGTGCTGCCTCGATGATGGGTGTTTAATAAGCAAACAATTTTTAGACTGTTACTTTGTGTCAATAGATAGACTGTTTACTTCACCGATAAACTTAATTACTTTTTGAACTGGTATACTATTGACAATTACAGATTGTTGACAAAAAAAAGTTACAACCTACCACTAGGCTCTGGGTGGTTATGCCTTACACACTGTAAATTGATTTACGTCTAGGGTTGCCAACTTAGGCTAAATAACTAGGTGCACTATATACTGTTACAAAATTATATACGTTATATAACAAGGCTGATTTTTCAATCTAGAACATGGTTAGATAAAAGTTATCCATTAAATAAATTATAACCTGACTGACTATGATAGTGAAACAGTTTAACAATTTTATTCATACAACTGTAATTTAAGTTTTTTACGATACAATATTATGTTTTATTCTAAAAACTTTTTATTTGATGTGTGAAAAATTAGCCCTTAGTAGTTATAATATTATATTTTTAGCTTGGTAATTATTTTCATAATTAACTAACTGTTTTACACAGTATGCAAAATATAATGATTAATATTGAATGCAACTAGTTTTATGTAATGTTTGCGAAAACCTATGAAATTAGTAGGGTGATTAATAGCCGATATTTTCCCTGTTATTGCAGAATATTATATTTTCACATAATGCACTTTATTACCTAACACTACACAAGTAATGTACTATATTACATACTAGTGATCCACCTCAGCTTTCCACGGGTGATCTCGACGACAGCGCCACTTACCAGGTCCAGTTGAGTTATTAAACCATACAGGTACCCCACTCAAATACACATAAAAAAAAATCATCAAAATCGGATGAGCCATTTCTGACTTTTTACGAGACTAATGGACAACAATTGTTTTTTATATATGGAGATTACACATCTGGTTGTAAAATACTATATTTCTTCAACTAATAGTTGGCAACCCTATCCATGTCCATTGTGTGACCTAATTAACGCTTATGACTCATTGCAGACAAGTAATTGCCAAACCTGTGTTCACATAATCAGTGACATTATCAGTGGTGTGTCACTTTGATTAGAAAAATCATGTGATTTTGTTGTGGTTAGAGGGATAAGCTATGCAAGGATTATTTTTGTATTTAATTACAATGTTTTAACAAACAACAAGTACAAAAACTTTTCAATTTGATTGTATGTTCTTGTTATATAGTATGTATGTTATGCTATATCTTTGCCAGTTCTGAACCAATTTAGATGATTGTTTTTAGTAGTACACTTCAGTGGTAGTACCATATAAATTTGGAGAATAAATTCCACTCCTAAATAAAAATTCCAGAAGGAAATACCAGGAATTGTTGATATATATACTATTTTTTTTTTTACTTTGCAATCGATCAGTATACTGTGTAGCCCACAGAACACATTTTATATGTTTTATAAGAAAGTCCTAAAAAAGAAACGAAATTATTTAAAAAGAAAAAGCCCGCTGTGTTTCTTGCTGGTTGTTCCCAGGACAGAGGTTTTTTTCGAACCAGTGGTAATTAAAGAAAAGAGTAACTTTCAAGAAATATTATTTATAATCCATATTGGATAAAAAGTTTGTTTCTGTTTTTGTTTCTATTAATTGTAACCCCAAAATTACATGGCAACCCTGCACACAAGTCCTCTGATAAACGGCCTACGTTTAGTAGAGGACTTGTGTCCTAAGGAATGCTACAAAGCATGGTACTACACCTACATCCATCACACTTCTTCATCTCCTCTCTTATCAGTTTATGACTCAATCTAGTAAGGAGTCGGCCTGCACTTCGCTGGCCGATATGGCTTTCATTTGACAAGCTTCCTTCCACATTAGTAGTAGGTTCTTCGAGCTATATGGCTGGCCCATTGCCACTTCAGCTTACTGATCTGTTGGACTTTGTTGGTTACTCTAATTCTACTGTGGATATCGTAGAAGTATCATTACGAAGTCTATCATGCTGAGAAACTCCAAGCATAGCCCTCTCGCAACGCGAAGCTCGCTGAGCGACCTTGAGCTTCCTCATACGGCCAGTCGTGAGGGACCACATCTCAGATCCATTTGTACAATTTGTCATTACTTGTTTGGTTGTAAAGTTTTGACACTCTTGTCAAGATTTGAGGTATACTTGACGAAAGATGTGTCGTAATCTCCCGAACGCTAACCAGTCGAGATGGATTCATCGATTGACCTTTTGGTCAAAGTAGGACCTCCCTAGTTGGACAATAATTATCGTAGGCAAACATACTAGTCGCCAAATTCAAGCATAGTGCTCCCAACATATACCGGCATAGTGTCACATGGATGTTCCACAGGATGGCTTTTATGTTGTCTTAGTTTGTTTTAAGACCTATCCGTTGGGAGACACTATTTAATTCACTGAGTATAGCGCCGAGGTTCTCCAGTGATTCTGCCTTAATGACTATATCGTCGGCAAATCGAAGGTGAGCGATGTATTCGCCGTTGATTTTAATATCTAGCATGTTCATACGATGACGCATCATGATTATTTAGTAAACCCTTCAAGCAAATAGGTACGAATTTTTGTTTGGTCAGACAAGACGGTCTCATCAAACATTTTTTTTTTGATTCGTCATACATCTATACACATATAAATAAAATTGAAATGTCTGTCAGTACTCTGCAATATTGCAAAAACTGGCTTCTATTAAGCTCAGGGGGTATTTGCATGCTATTAAGACATAAACAACGGCTCAGTAGGATAGTGGCTTAGCAATGAGTTGTACCGTTAAGGGCCGCGGGTTCGAATCCCACACGGAACAAATGTTTGTCCCTATGAAATTTATGTATTGAAAAACAAAACGATTTAAAAAAAGAACCATTTTAAACATTTTGTCTGTCCGTCTGTACGGGCAAATCTTCGAAACGGCTGAACTGACTGTGATGAAACTGTGAACATATAGAGAGCAATGCCAGAAGGGATCTAGGCTATATTTATTTTATATTTTATTCGAAAAAAAAATAAAGATTATTTAAAAAAAAAAGCGTAAAATTGATCAAAATAAATGGTCTTTCATTATCTTATGGCGAAGCCGGGGCGGTTTGCTCGTATAGTAAACTCGTAAGTTTTAACAAATATCTCTTAAGAATCGCTTTGAAATTTTCTATCAAATCTCGATTCAGTTAATATTAATGTGGCATTCTATACTGTCTGTGTGTTTTCTACGAGTCTTTAACGAATCGTTATGTATGATGAATCGTTAATTAGGAATGTAGGTGTGAACGGACCGTAGGATAGACGTTTTGTATAGAACCTGAGTGCCCGCTATGTTTGGGGGGCATGCATTATTAAAGCGGAGTTTTAAGCTTGTATAACAAACACATGATATATTTTTTCTTTAAAAAAGACGTTATCACCACGAAGATTTTCGCTTTTTTACCCTTATCGAGCACACAGTCGACCTGATGGTAAGTAGTTGCTGTGGCCCATAGATATCTACATCTATACTCGATTACGGATGAAAATGCAGATGCATTGTCATCCCTGAGAATTAAGATGTAATGCCTCGTATCCAGTAAAAAGGGTCTCCGGTTTTGTACACTCACCATACGAAACATAGCAGTGTTAGTGTTAAGCTGCTATTTTACGCTGGAATCGTCGAGCCGATCCATTCGTGCTACAAGCTACAACTATAATATACCTAGCTGCATCATTGCTCTACCATGTAGGTAAAATAACTTTTATAACAAACGCAGGGTTTTCTTTCTTTCATAAAATCGTATTTCCTCCAAACTAGTATTTTTATTGTATCGTGGTGGCAGTTTACACACGTAAATTGCACAAGGACTAACATCCAGAACCGGAACAATTATTTGTAGGCCATACAAATACTGGTTCCGAGCGAGATTCGAACCTACGGCCCTAAGCGCTGCAAATCATTGCTAAGCCACTGCGCCAGGGAGCCATCACATTACCGTACGCCATGTTACACAATGCGCTGCGCCGCACGCATTTTTTCCAATACTCTCGTTCACCACTCGTAACTAAGCGGGAAATTCTTGTAATAAATGTGTAATGGTCCACAATAGATAAATGACGAAATTAAACCCACGATTTTGTAAGTTTCCCTAAGTTTCGCTGTCTGTACTATTACGCATTTGTCTATACGCTAAGTTTCTTTGTTTACGCTATTACGTAGTTGTCTGTACGCTAAGTTTCACAGTCTGTACCATTACGTATTTGTCTATACGCTAAGTTTCACTGTCTGAACCATTACGTAGTTGTCTGTACGCTAAGTTTCAGTCTGTGCCATTACGTATTTGTCTATACGCTAAGTTTCAGTCTGTGCCATTACTTATTTGTCTATACGCTAAGTTTCAGTCTGTGCCATTACTTATTTGTCTATACGCTTAGTTTCAGTCTATGCCATTACGTATTTGTCTATACGCTAAGTTTCAGTCTGTGCCATTACTTATTTGTCTATACGCTAAGTTTCAGTCTATGCCATTACGTATTTGTCTATACGCTAAGTTTCAGTCTGTGCCATTACGTATTTGTCTATAGGTTAAGTTTCACAGTCTGTGCAATTACGTAATTGTCTCTACACAACAAATGAAAGGTGACAACGAGCAAGCAGTCCACCTGATGGTATGTGGATTCTGTGGTCCATATACAAATACACCTTTATTCGATTAAGAGATAAATGACTAGCTACAATTCCAATTAGCAACAATTTCAAAAAAAAAAAACAGAAAATATACAAAGTTTGACTTCCTCAAAGTTCAAAATATCTGTAACATATAAATGATTGTAAACTGATTTTTTTTTTCAAAAAAACAAACCTGAAACATAAAAGTTACTTTCAATAAGTATTGTTTATATTATATTGATTATTGAATAAAAAGTTTATGTTTCTATTTAAGTTTTACCGGCGGGGAACGACCTCAGGTTGCTTGCACTATGAAATTTTAATCGAGCTCAAAGTCGTAGATCTATTTCTATTTGAACAGTTCCACACAAAAAATTCGTAAGATTTAATTGGACGCCCAAACCGATGCAGCTGTGGTACGCTTTGCATATCAATTCGAACGAGGGCGGGCTTTGCATGTAAATTAGAAAATTGGCATGCAAAGCCTGGTTTGTAAATTAGTTAATAAAACTATCCGGATATCGGACTAAATAGAGCTTTCAAATGAAGTAACCGATGAATTTTATTTTAACTAAGCGTATTTTTATTTTAAACTAGTGACCACCCCGAATTTGCCTGGGTAGGATCTATTAATGTGGCATTATATTAAATTGAAGATCAATGAATCAGTGAATTAAATTGAAGATCAAAGATCAATCAATGGCCATTTATTTTATCGATTTTTAAAATAATCTAGATTTTCGGATTAAATATAGCATAGATCACTCCTGACATTGTTCTAGATCTGTTCGTAAAGTTTCATTAAAATGTGTCCAGCCATTCTGAAGGTTAGGCCATACAGACAGACAGACAGACTCCGACAAAAATGTTAAATATGGCAATGAAAACATTTCTAAATATTAATGTCTTACTGGCATGCAAATCCCATAGCCCAATAAAAGAGATCTGTTTCAATATTACAGTCGGACACTTAAGTTTTATTTATATTATAGAATATTTATCTATTTTTTACCCTTTCCCTGCCCCATGAATCATATATTGGATCATTCATTTTGATTGTTTGACTATTCCGTCTACTCGTATTTTGCTCCATTGAATTGTTTGCTGCATTTTAAGTGCTAATTTACGTGTTTGGTTATGGATCAAATCTTTATAAAAATATACATACATTTAGAGCGTTACGCTTGTAATCCCCGATGGGGTAGTTACGAAGCCAAATAGCAGCTAACGGGCTTTATCCTAAATATACTGGTCTGGGTGGAAAATTGTGACAAACCCAATATCCTAATAGTCGCCATTTACGACATGCTATGCAACTAACGCAGTTGGCTTATGCTTATTTGTTTAAATGCCACAAACATGGGATCTAAGATAATTTTTTTATTCAATGCAGATTACATGTAATTGTTATTGAAAATATTTTGTTACTATTACCACTGGTTCAAAAAAAAACCTCTATCCTGGGAAGCACCAGCAAAAAATCCAGCGAGACTTTTTTCCAAAGTAAATTATACAAAATAAGAAAGGTACAAACTATTTACAAAATCAATTTCGGAAACGGCTTGGATGCGACCACCTCATTCTTAAATTAGCTACCTACATACCTCCCAATTAACCATATAACATCAACCATGTAAGTATTAATTTATATATATTTATATAATAACCCCTTATATACAGATTTTGTTTAGTAAAGTATTTAAACTTGGTAATAGAGAGACCTTGTATAAAAGCTATGTAAAAAAACTATGAATTCTAAGCACTAGAAATTGGTACTATCCTGGTATGTTTGCCGCAGGCGCAAGCGGAAGAAGGCTTCATCACCGCATGCCAGCAACTACGAGGCTACGGTCAGGAGATGTTCAGCGCACGAGACCAGCTCGACCAGAGTGAAGTCACTATCGCCGTGTCACTCACCGGCATCCGAGTGCTGACGGAGACCAGTGATACGCCACACTTTTATAGGTTAGTTCAGAAAATACTCAATTATTTGAAAAAAAATTGACTACCTCTAAATTAGCATTCTCTCCTGTATCGTGGAGGCAGTGTACATAAATTGTACAAGAACAAACAACCAGACCTGGAACAATTATTAGTAGGCTATACAAATACTTGTTCCGTGCGGGATTCGAACCCGCAGCCCTCAGCGTCGTAACTCAATACTACCACTCTACCACGGAGCTTTTAAATACTTATTTTTATTTTATAGGACAAATATTTAACTTGGTAGAGCCATGCTGCAGATAAATTTAAGTTGTAACATGGTGGGTTGGACCGGGGAAAGACTACGCTCTTACAGAATACCAGCATAAAATAACAGCTTAATGGAGCCGTTAAATGTAAGTGTCCATGGACCACAGCACCCACATTCCATCGGGTGGATTGTGTGCTCGTTTGTCTCCCTAATTCTATAAAAAAGGAACTGCTAAGGTAACTTACTTAATTAGCCTCTGGACAATTAATAAGTAACAATATTTTATCACGCCGCGAGTTGACTGCCAGATAATGCATTGATATGCTTTAGACATACGGCCTATGTTAACTTATTTATACAGGCAGAAACAATAAAGACTAAATAAATAAATAAAAATATTTTATTTCGGCCATCATGGATCATGTGTTAGAAAATACAAGTATTTTAAACATATTTGTTAGTAAAAACCAAAAATTTTTTTGCTGTCTAATATCTATTCATTTAAGTAAATAAATTTGTTTTTATTCTAGTGCAGTCTTTAAGTTATATAGTTAACTTTTAGCAGTAAGCAATAAATATGAAAAGAAACTTATAAATTTTGTGTTTTGAATTATCTGTTTCTATATTTTAGTATTCATCTAGATACGATAAATGATCACTTTCTTTACAACTAGTGGAGCTGTCGTCGTTATCGTTGTTTACATTAATTATTACTCGATTTTATCTATTGCATTAAAAATGAATGACTCTTTCATAGAAGTCCATTACAATTTTATTTGTTCTCTCTATCGCTTTGCCCCGGCGATAGCTCGTGTAGTACTTGTATTTTCTATAAATCCTGAGTTTATAAGGCGCCCACTTTTTCCCACTGGCACTTGTCATCTGTCGATGTTTGTGGCGCAGTGTGGTTGGCGTTTAGCCATGTTTCATCAATGATAACTCGTATAACGTTGTCTCAATTGGTTATATGTTTAATTTCGATTATAATTCTTTGCATTCATTTTCTTTTCAAATGGTTCTCAATGACTCTGTACTACCATTGTACAAGGCGACACCTAAACTTACTCGCAACTTCGCAACAGTGAGATTCACAGAAATTATAAAAAATAGCCTTGTTTAATACGTGATTCATATAATTTATGCAATTCTAAAAAAAATTTTATAAACAAATAATAAATTTATAAATGAAATTTTCCGATTATTTGAATATTTTTACCAATTATACGCAGTAGCATGAAGTTGAATCATTCAAACACTACGTTCAGGTGCATAACGACATATCATTGGAACAACGTCAAGCATAAAAGTTGATGCCATCAAAAACATAACTTGTAAAAAAACCAAGTCTCGCAACTCAGTTCTTCTACCGTAAAAGGTTGTGAGATCCATGTAATACCAAGTCGGTTAATTTATTCTGTCCGTACTTAAGGGTCCTTCTGTCTTAAGTTATTATGTACTTCGCTAACCTACCAACATCTTATAGTGACCATATCATTATTAAAAATATTTTATGTTTTAAATAAATAGATTGACTTGGCCATCGCATGAAAACACAATGTATCTCACAAGTAATACATATTATATTAAATATGTATTACTTGTGAGATAATATAAAAAAAAAAAAAATATTCCATACTATCGACGGCTTCAATTAACCTGCGCCTGATCTCTCGCCGTGTCGGATTGTCGTCCGATCGGACTACGAGAGCGAGTTTTTCCCATTGAGATTAATCACCGTGACAGAAATTCGATCTGAATGACGCTATTAACAACAAACGTTGGCGCAGATGGATGGACATAACGAACGTGATCAATCACAAGCGGACCTTCAGCGTGGAGTGCCAACGTCCACTCAGCTCGGCGGCCTTCGTGTTGCCCAGCCCTGAAGACGGGAAGTACGTGTGGCGCATGTGCGTACAGCAGCACACCTTCTACATGCGGCACCGGGTTGCCCTCAGCACGACACACGCCGCCACAACCGAAGAACCACGACCCAACTTCCAGGTGAGCCTGTGAACACACACCCTAACACACAACTATTTGTCACCGTTAATGTTTTTTTTTATATAATAAAGGTGACAACGATCACACAGTCCACCTAATTTTAAATGAATGCTGTAGCCCATGGATACCTATATCTGTCCTCGATTAAGAATCCAAATGCATATGCGTTGTCACCCCTAAGGACTAAGATGGAATGTCTCATTTCCAGTAAATGTTTTATTATAAAGGTTTATTCAGTGTACCACATGAAAATGAAATACATTGGTATAGCCAAATAATTATTTTTCCAAGTCTGGATATTAGTTCATATATAATTCATAAAAAACACAAGTAGTTCGGTGTTATTACCAGTAAATATAATAAATTTTTATACGTGGTAAAGCAATACTGCAGCTATATTCTTATTGCTGTGGCCCATAGACATCTACATGTATCCTCGTTTTTCGAATTAAAATGCAGATGCGTGGTCAGCCGTGAGGACTAAGATAGAACGCCTCTTTTCCCGTAAAATAACAGTGGTAGAGCCACGCGGCAGCTTTTGCTGTCGCACGGATTGGCCAGCTCGAACCGGGGTAGTACCACGACCTCACAGAAAACCAGCGTGAAGTAGAGGTTTACCTCTGCGTTTCGCTTGGTAAGTGCAGGTGGCCGGAGGCCCTTTTTACTGGAAATGAGGCATTCCATCTTAGTCCTCACGGGTGACAACGCATCTACATTTTGATTTGTAACAGAGGATAGATGTAGATGTCTATGGGCCGCAGCAACCACTTACCATCAGGTGGACTGTGTGCTCGTTTGTCACCCTTATCCTATAAAAAAAAATGGTTCTCCGGTTCTGTACACTCACCATACGAAACACAGCAGCGTTAAACTGTTATTTCACGCTGGTAGTCTGTGAGAGCGTGGTCCTTCCCCGGTCGAGTCGACTCATTCGTGCTGCAACTATACTATTAGCATAGCTGCTGCGTGACTCTACCACGTACAAGCTGCTATTAGGCGGTTGAAATAGGTAACGAGGGTGGTACTTATCCAGTGTGCTTTCTATATTTTGATAGGTTATATCAGTGAGGGGTTTATGGAAATACCTAAAGACCGTGTGCTTGTGTTTTATTTTTAAAAACTTGCAATAAATCACTTTTGTATTGAGATAGCTTGAGTGTAGGTCATTAATAACTTTGACTAACCTCAACAGCAGTTTTCCCATAGATTATAGAAAAGTCTTTGTTCATGTACACTAATTATGATGAACCTCGTTCCTCCTCGTTCTCACAGGGTGAACCTCGTTCACCCTGTGAGAATATATTAATCACTCTGACACATCTTCCATGTGTGGTACTAGCATGTAAACGTTGGTTGATGATTGCGGACTCGTGAGCGTAGTAGCCGACTACGAAGCGAGAATTCGAATCCCAGCTTGATCCAAAATTTGTTAAAAAACACAAAATCTTTGCATAAAAGCCGTAGGAGCCGTAGAGGTTAAGCGCTTGTCGTCAAGTTCATAGTACGCAAGCAACTCAAGTTCGATCCCCGCGCTCCATTGAAACTATTTATTGCAATTTTAAGTAATTTACCACATTCTCGGCGGTGAATGCATTGTAAGGGAAACCTGTATATTTAAAGTATTCGAGGACGGTGGCCAAATAGTTATTTTTATTAAAAATACTTATTCATACACCAGAAATTTCTCCTGTCTTGTAGAGGTGCTTTATGCATATATGAATTGCGCATGGACTAACATCCACACCTGAAAAAATAATTAATTAGCTATACAAATACTATCCATACATTATATTTATTGACACTGCGCCACCGGACCGTGAAAAATTTGACGGCTCCGTGGCGCAGTGACTTAGCAATGAGTTGGAGCGCTGAGGGCCGCAGGTTCTAATCCCGCACGGAACAAGTATTTGTATGTCCTGCAAATAATTGTTCCGGGTCTGGATGTTTGTCCTTGTACAATTTATGTATGTAAACTGTCCCCACGATACAGGAGAAAATCCTAGTGTGGAGGTAATAACGCCGCTTAAAAATAACAATTAAAAAAAAGAAAGAATTTTCAAGCAAATTAACTGTTGTGTATCTACGATGGCATTGGCTAAAACATCCAAGGTAACCTTTGCCTTGACGGTCATTAACGCTCAAACAGACTTTCGGATCATTGCGTGGGATAAACTGCGGATGAAAGTAGGGCCCTCACACAGTTAACTTTTTCCCATGGGAAAATATTGATAAATAGTTTGTTGTACAGTCAAGTATTTATTCGTTCAATACGTGCACATAGTGGCGGCATATGAATATCCAAACAAATCAGGAGATGGCCACACAGCTCCGTCTTCCTAATAATAACAAAAAATAAAAAACTGCGGTTACCAACCCGCTTGCCAAGTGCCCTGGCAACTATGGCAAATATCCCTCTTATGAGACAATCTAAGAGCGAGGCCTATGTTCAGCAGGTATACATAATAGGTTTTGAAATAGAGCCATGCTGCAGCTATATTACTGGTATAGTTGTAGCACGAATTGCATCGGCTCGACCGGGGAAGAACCACGCTCTCACAGAATACCAGCGTAAAATAGGAACTTACCGTTGCTGCTGTATTTCGTATGGTGAGCGTAGAGAACCGGAGACCCTTTTTACTGGAAACGAGGCATTCAATCTTAGTTCTCACTGGTTACAACGCATCTTACGTGGTAGAGCCATGCTGCAGCTATATTAGTAGTATAGTTGTAGTACGAATGGGTCGGCTCGCCCGGGGAAGGACCACGCTCTCACAGAAAACCAGCGTAAAATAGCAGCTTAACGCTGCTGTGTTTCGTATGGTAAGTGTAGAGAACCGGAGACCCTTTTTACTGGCAAAGAGGCATTCCATCTTAGTCCTCACGGGTGACAACGCATCTGCATCTTGAGTCTTTATTATATATATATATATATATATATATATATATATATATATATATATATATATATATATAATGACGTCACTGGCGTTTCAATTTACATTTTAGAAAAACCATTTTAATTGTAAAATTACATAAAAATCAATTGTATCTTTTTTACATTTTTCTTAATTATTTTTAGTAAACTTTCAAAACAAAAACCAAGCAACTTCTCTATTGTAACTTATCACTTAGTAACCTTTTCCCGGCATTGCAATAAATTAAAAATTAAAAATTATGAGATAAATAACTCTTATTGCGTTTGTAGTGGCCATTTTTAAAAAGTTATTGTCACTTTACGGCCATAAATACTGACATTATGTTCTAAGTATGTGCATGACTTACTGTTGTTAACATACAAAATGTCCAATGGAGTAAAATACGAGTGAAATATATATAAAGCAAACATTTTAAGCGCGCACGCGCGCGACCGTATCGTAGAAAGTAAATCAGCAACGATTAGTGTATAGGAAATCGTCGCACGATCGATTAAAATCGACAGTTTAATTGTGCAGTGAAAAGATTTAGCGTATTAAAGATGTTAAAAATTAATTAGCCAAGATCCGCGTAATAAAATAAAGTGTCTTACCCTCAATTGCGTGCACAATCTCCGTAACCTATACCTACTCGTATGCTCAATGGACTTTGGACTTGTGATGAGATGGATGATAATAAAATTCGATTCAGTAACAACAGGTGGACAGGTATTTCTTAGTCAGTGGCCTTTACCATTTTCGGTTACTTCACTACTTACCATCAGGTGGATTACTAGTGAAGCATTGACTTATAACTATTGTCATCCACCTCACAGCCTATTACAAGTTCAATGCTGAACATAGGCCTCCCCCAAGAAATACCTAAAAGGACGGTCCTGCTTTAGCCATCAAACTTTCTGCATGTGTAACCAGCTCGTCACTCAATCTAGTGGGAGGTTGCTCTACACTTCGCTAAGCGGTACGAGGCTGAAAGTCGGGAAACTTTCTTCCCCATCGGTTGTCGGTTCATCCAGCTATAAAACCGGCCCATTGCTACTTCAGCTTACTGATCCGTTGCGCTATCTCGGTTGCTTTAGTTCTACCACGGAAATCATCATTACGAATTTTATTACGCCGACTAAATCTGAACATAGACATAGATAAGTCAAGCGGTAAAAAAAACTACCACGTTTTTAAAACGGATTAAAAAGTATAAACCTTCTTTCTTCTTTTTGATTTTTTTTTCACATTGTTGCATTGTCATCCTATTCTGAGCTATGTTCAAAATTTCAAGTCTCTAGATCACCGGGAAGTGAGTTAATAATAACGGTAAAAAACTTTATTATTATCGTTATATTTGTCATGTGCTGTGCGTATTTAGACTTGGTAGGTCACATACAGTGGGAATTTAGTTGGTCTTAATATTAGTTATATTTTTTACTTGGATTCTAGTTGGAAATTAGGGTGTCCATAATGTAAGTGATACTTATATTAAATTAAGATTAAATTTTAATATATTTACTGTGTAGAGGAAGTATAACATATATATAATAATAATATCCACAACCCCATATCGTCCCGTGGGTGTCGTAAGAGGCGACAGAGGGAAACTAAAACGGGTGATGTGCAACAGCATCTTCCTGATAACAACTCCAAAATAATCAAACACTGCGGTTGACAACCCGTTCGCCAAGCGTGTCAACTATGGCAAAATCCTCCCTTTTAAGTGTTTTTTTACACTCGTGAGTTAATTAAGGTCCCGACTGAAAACCAGTGCTGTGGCACCCCACAAATGGAGGCAGGATCCCTTTTAACTGATATCAACTGCATAATTAATAATTTTGTAATTTGTACTACGAATTTCTATGTTTCTTTCTTTCTTTTCGTCGTTTCCAGGAGCACGGTCTGTCGGAGAGCCGCGAGGAGCTGGATGTACGGGATAGCGGGAGCGCGTCCCGATTGGACCCGCTGTCGTCGCAGTCCCCACTGTCCCCACTATCCCCGTCATCCCCACAGTCCCCGCTGTCGGCGGCACACCGTGCTCACTCCACGTCCTGTCTCGAGCTAGCCGACCACCCACCACAGCCGCTGCCCAGGAACAGGTCAGTTATGATCAGGATACATCATCATCAACAGTATCCCAAACCCATTGCTTAGAACACGCTCGAATAGGTTGACTGGAAGAAATCGTTCTTAGCGATCCTTGTACCAGTTTTCTTTTTTGTTGCCCTTGTTATCTTGGACCGTGTAGTGGCAATCTAAGAATGTCCACTACCCCTTATCGTCCCGAGGCTGTCGAAAGAGGCGACAGAAGGAAACTGCAACAAGATACAGCAGCATACCCCTAATAACAACTCAAAATACCAAAAAACTGCAGTTGCCAAACCTCCTGCCATGCGTGACAATTATAGCTATGGTGAGGGCTTATGTTTAGCCGTGGACTTTTATGGGCAGTAATGAATGGATGGATGGATTTGGACTCTCACTACTAAATTCTAAAACTGTATATTGAGTACTAACTCATTATAACACACAGAACACCTGATGGTAAGTGGATGCTGTGGCCTATAGACATCTACATTTATCCTCGATTAAGAATCAAAATGCATATGCGTTGTCACCCCTAAAGGTTAAAATGGAATGCCTCGTTTCCCGTAAAAAGGGTCTCCGGTTCTCTACGCTCACCATACGAAACACAGCAGCATAAAGCTCCTATTTTACGCTGGTATTCTGTGTGAGTGTGGTCCTACCCCGGTCGAGCCGACCCATTCGTGCAACAAGCATAATATAGCTGCAGCGTGATTCTACCACGTATAAACATACAGAAACACATACATATATACATATTCTTACTGGCAATAGCAGATCCACTTACTTCAACTTGATTGTGCGCCCGTTGGTCTCAAAAGACATTGAAGCAATAAACTTTGGCCTGTTTCAGAGCTCTTCTCCCTTCATACCGACCAGCGCCCGATTACGAAACGGCTATCCAGCAGAAATATCAGCAGCAAAGAGCAGAAGCTCAGATCCGATATCAGAACCATCACACCCATTCCCAACTCCTCGGCAGCAGTGCCAAACCTCTAGTCTACGGATCCCATCCAGACATCCACAGAATCCATTACCCCGATGTCACTAGGCACACGGTTTCTGTTAACCAGGGTGTGGCAGCCACTGACGATTACAACTATGGTCTTAAATTCATGGGCAACTATCCATTCGCAGTCAATCCCAATGTCCAGACCGACCACGCTTTACACTACGTTAATGTATACAAACCACCACCCCCCTATCCCTCTAATGGTCTGGCCTCCAACTCGACCCCAGACCTAGCCGTGGCAAGTCAAGCCTTAAACTATCACAGAGGTTACATCAATTCCCATGTGTCAGGTTCCAGTCCAGATCTAGTCTCAACGAGGCCGGCATTAAATAGACAATACCTAGGGTACCTTAACCAAGGTCATAACGTTGTGAACTACCCTCGACCCAACCTCCTCCCAGCAACGCACGGAACATACAACAATCTCACATCGGTCCTCGATCCTAATCCACATATCATAATCGACCCTCACCATATATCCGACAACATACAGAAGGTGTACGATGAAAGGGGGAATATAATGTATTCTATGCCGATGCGTCGGATATCCTACCAAAGGCATCTGGTGCTGCCGCAAGCCCAACAGATCAAGATGAACGAGACTCAGGAACCCATATACGAGAATGTTCCACTACCATGGCAAAACGAAAGTACAACGCGGGATAGAGCACAAAGTCTGACAACTACCGACGAGATTTCACGACTAAACGATCGAAATAGCAGCCATCCGACCATAAACAGCTACGGAAACTTGAAACCAACCTTAAACATACCTAACTACCACTTACCGGTGAAAATTGAACTGGACAACCATTACATGAATGCGCAAGTTATTAAGGGTGTGAGGGAGACGAGTGTACCAAAAGACCTGAACATCTCTAGTCGATCCATCAACAAGACTGAAGAATTGGAGAATATCTCAGTAGCAGTTGATAAGCTGTCGTTGAAGAATGATGACAAAGACTTTGATGAGACTCCGTACCAAAGTCTATCAACCCACAAAATATCCAACAACAATATAATAAGCAAGTCTAGTGATAATGTGACGTCCATAATTGTGCCTGATATTAAATGTGGGCAAAGCATCCAAAACTTATCACAGAATACAACGGACAGTGCTTTATCAAGCTCTATTACAAACACTACTCACACCAGCGTAGAATTAGAGAACTCAAAGAACAGTGTGAGCAGTAAGGAAAAGAAGAGAAGAAGGTGGGGAGTGTTTATGGGTAGGGGGAATAAGACTGTGGAAGTGAAAAGTGCTACATTGGGGAGGGATAGAGCAAAAGCTAATGCGGGGCAGACTGCCAACAAGCATCGGTGGTCTACGGGTTTGCCCAAGTTTCAGCCCTTACCTCCCAGCATTACCAAAGAAACTTTGGTAAGTGGTTTTACTAATAAATCCATGCACATTAATAAAATTTAAGTGTCTAACTGGCTTTTACGCTTAGGGGCTATTACGCTTAGGGGGTTATTTTGAGGCTATTTAGACATAACCATTTTTAAAAAAATTGTCCATCTGTCTGTCCGTCTAATCTTCGGAATGACTTTTCCAATTGTGATGAAACTTTACGAACAGATAAAGAGCAATGCCAGGAGGGGTCTAGGCTGTATTTATGTATGTGTAGACATTTTTTCAATAGTACTACATGAATAAAAAAGACAGGTAAACCTAAGGCATTTTAAGACATTAGTGATGGAGTGTGTAAAAAGATTGAGTCAGCGTAATGCTGCAGGGTAACCCACAGCGCTGATGAATCTGCCATAACCATAGGAAATTATAAGGATTAATTAAAAATTGATAAATTTTTATGATTTTACATTATTTAAAAAAATCTAAATAACGCAACATTAATAGATTCCATCCAGCCGAAGTTAGGGTGGGTCACTAGTATTTTTTTAGAAATCTAGTAATTCCGTTACCGTTACAGCCTATTAAAGTTGTGCCAATAGATAAAAAGTTTTTGACATAGTTGCCACGCTTGGCAAAGCAGTTTTTTTATTTTTAGTTCTTATTGGGAAGACGCTGCTGCCCTCTTTCGCCTTACGACACCCACGGGATGATATGGGGTAGAGGATATTCTTACATCGCCACTACACAGTAACTAGTAATTCAAACATGTAAAATACTCATGTCAGATTATGTTGACCGTCTTGTTGGTCTAGCGTAAGCGTCTGTTGATCATGAGGTTCCGGATTCGAATTAGTTATTTTGTGTCAAGATATTCCCAGAAGCAGGCCTGGGTCAAGAAGCTGGAGGTGTTTCACGCCCTAACTCGGAAAGCACGTAAAGCCGTGGTTCTGTGCTTAATCTCTCTCCGGTCATGTTGGATTACCGTCCCATCGGACTATGATAGTTAGGGAATAGATAGTGCAACTATGTTGGCGCCCACATGCGTGCACTTAATCTTGCTCTGCGCAGATGGTTGGTCTCCTTTGTGACTAGCTGCCGGTACATTATTTTTAATCCCCTTAAAATGTTTCTTCAATCCAGTGCCAACTCCTTGAACGCAAGATGTCGGACGACCAGCTCGCGTTTGCCTTCGAACAAATTCCCAAGGGTCGAGAGAGTGGGGGTGAAATTCGCACGGCCCTGTTACCCCAATACGCAGCTCTCAACAACTTCAGCACCGACCACTTGCCCTATGAAGATAACAGGGTGAGGCTTCACCCCACACCAACCAACCCCCATGGATATATCAACGCTTCACATATAACGGTAAATAGATGTGTTTATATACTTGTTTTAGTTTTATAAATTTCACTTTATCTGGTGGTCATTAAGTAGTCGAAATTCGACTGTAATTGATAAAAAAATTTCTTTTGTTTATAAAGCAAGCTGTATTTCACTTTCAATTCTCAATGTATACAGGGTTATTTTGCAACATACGCCCAGATTTTCAGAGAAGGTTCAGATAAGTAATATAGGCGAATGATAATAAAAAAAAATCTCAAACAGTCTGCCCTTTTCATGTTTTAAATTCAGAATGCATGGTGATGCATTATTTTAACTGATTGTCATTTATAATTATCTAACGCCTACTATTTTACTACACACGCACACATTCGTAAGGGTCGCTCGGTTACAAAATTTTGGTACCCTTCGCGTCTTCCCGCGCCCTTCCCTTGCGTTAACCGTTACAAAGCTGTGTACCTACGTCCGCCCGTCCAGCTGACAGCCAACAGTGTTGACCGTGACCTCATCACATAAGAGCGTGCTATTTTCTTAGAAAGTGTCGCTTCGTTACCAATGACGGAACGAAAATATTGGAACCACGACAACTATGAAATGGTGCGGTGTTACATTTTTAAGCAATGAAAGTTTACGTGATGCGCAAAGATTATATGAAAGTCTTTACAGCGGCAGTACGTCTTAACGTACGTGTAACTACTAATCATAGAACAGCTAATCAAACTGTTCAAGTGCATTGAGCGGTAATTTAAATAGTGAATATTATGAACATAGGTAGATTGAGGTTAATTAGACTAGACACCGTTAGACTTTTATCTGTGGGGTGATATAAAGAGTCTTGTTTACGTCAAAGATGCTCAAAGATATGAAGACCGCCGCAGCAAAATTATTGCTGCATTCACTAAAGTTGAAAGTGCTCAAGCACAGGTAATAAGTGTAGATAAATAATTTAAGAAAACGTGCTCGTCTATGCGTTGAGAGAAACGGATTCCATTTTGAGGTACCAATATTAGTTATTGAGACTACTTCTGTAATTTAGTTGTTAATAGTTTATTTAAATTTTTATAATACACCATAATAATGACGCACCTGCAATTCCCGTAGTGTTGCAGTTGTTCATTGGCGGCGGTAGTCACTTACCATCAGGTGAGCCGTATGATTGTTTACCCCCTCCTATAAAAAAAAGTCAGCGGTTAAGTCGTTGATAAGCAAATGTTGTCATTATTATGGTGTATTTTAAAAATTGGAATAAACTGAATTACGCAAGTAGTCTCAATAACTAATATTGGTACCTCAGAATGGAATTTGTTTCACATTTTTTATAACGAAAATATTATATTTTAAGTAATAAAAAATGTTCAATTTGACCTCAGCATGAATGCAGGCTATATCTTTTTATTTTAGAAAAGATCGCTTTACTAATCTTCCGTATCTTTTTAAATTAATTTCTGCAGCAGTTGGTCTAACCATCTGGTGTAGTTCGGTTATGTTTTGAATTTGCATAAATTTTGTCTTTTTTGCAACCCCAGTAAAAAAAGAGGGTTTAGATCTGGAGAGTGAGGTGGCCACCAAGAAGTATTGTACCGAGTCGGCCAATTCATGTATCAGAAAATTCATTATTTAGATAGTCCCGTACAGGACGTGCATAATGTGCTGGGCAACCATCTATTTGAAACCACATTCTTCGGAGTATGTTTATCCTCTAACCAGTTTACAAATCGTTTTCGATAAAATTCATATAATTCTCACCATTCAAGGTGCTCGGTAATTCAAAAGGGGCCAATAATTTGCCCGTTTATTATTCCAGTCCCCAAATTAATTTTAAATTGGCATTGCGATCGATCCTCTCGCTAAAAATGTGGGGTGTCAGTATGCCAACCATGAACATTATGAATGTTGAAATCCACGTCCACGAAGACCCCGAGAGTACTACGTCATCATAGTCCTCTCGGGATTCTCCACTAAGGTTTCGAACACCAGGTAGTCGTCCCTCCGAGTAAGCCTGATGTACATGGAGGAAAAGGCGGTGATCCGGATGACGTTCGGCATTCGGATACCTTTCTCGATAAAGCCTGGCTGAGGCACTAGCGTTAAATCTACATTCTCCGTAGATAAATCTACATTCTCCGTAGATGAGGTGCATGTTCACATATTCTTCAGCTGAGTAAAGATAAGGCATGATTCGTATTACCCGAAGTAGCGTAGAAAACACAAATCACTGGTTTTTAACGGCTGCAGAGTTTGCAAAACACAATATTCAAGTGTCACAATTATAAGTCTAGAAGAAAGCTAGGTCAGTAAACAAAAAAGAATGAAGTCCAATTTCGCAAAACCAAAATGGTTAGTACGGAAACGGGAGCAACACAAATATAAAAAATGCGCGTTAAACAAAGGAGTGTAGCGTACTGACAATTAAAAGACAAACAACCGCCAAAGCTTCACTATCTGCTTCAGCCTATCAGATCAAATAGCATCTCTACCTGTCTCGTTCTAACTCTACATGAAATGGTGTCAAGCCCGCTTTTCACTATGGGATATAATTTAATATATATTATATCTCCAGATATAAATTAATATCGCTCACCGCACTTTTTAATGGAATCGTTTACACTGACATGTAAGATATCTTCATTAATCTTCTACGTACTTCAGAATTCATTAAAAGGTATAAATTCACCATATTCCTCTCTAAACTTTATAGGATTTGATATCCAGTATCAACGCTCCCTGTTTTTACTTATAACTAACACACATAAACCGAATTTTGCATCATCTCCCTCTGATGAACTGTCGAGGCTATCAAGAAAAACAATATCCATTTTGTTTGGAAGACAATTTTGTTTGTAAACGACGAGTGCGGTGTAAATGTAATCTAATGACGTACGCACACTGGTTAAAAGATATAACTCAGTGTGAAAGCCAATCGCGGGATATAATTTATATCTCAGGATATATACGTGGTAGAGCCATGCTGCAGCTATACTAGTAGTATAGTTGTAGCACGAATGGGTCGGCTCGACCAAGGAAGGACCACGCTCTCATAGAATACCAGCATAAAATAGCAGCTTAACACTGCTGTGTTTCGTATGGTGAGTGTAGAGAACCGGAGACCCTTTTTACTGGAAAAGAGGCATTCCATCTTAGTGCTCACGGGTGACAACGCATCTCCATTTTGATTCGCAAACGAGGATAAATGTAGATGTTTATGGACCACAGCAACCACTTACCATCATGTGGACTGTGTGCTCGTTTGTCACCCTATCCTATAAAATATACATATATATTATATCCCATAGTGAAAAGCAAGTTTTATCATCTTTTTCATCCAAAAACATTTCTGTCACATTTGCACTTGTTGAATTCAGTATTTAATAGATGAAATGTATTGTGGTGTAGGTGTGTAACTGTTTTGATTTTAGGTCTTATTTTAGAAAATCAAATTAATTTTATTTTTGAGCATGAAAAGTGATACCTATTATTATACCATTTTCAAATATGGGATAAATGGGGCATCTTTTGAAGTAACTTTGTTGTACTGTAAGTTTTTTTTTTTAATGAAGAGTCAAAGTTAGGTGATCTTCTAAAAGAATTTACGTTAATTTTAATTAACCTAGCCACTTTTTTTTGCACGTTTATTTAAGATAAGAAAATTACTGTAAAATTGTGAAATTTGTGGTCACAATACAAGATGTACGGAACACTTTTTAATGATAGATTATATTATAAGACAGAAAATTATTTTATTTAAACTGAATAATGATATTGATAATGATATAGAACGCGTCTGCCATGTTCGGAATGAAAACGTGAACTGCACAAAAAAAAAGTTAATGACGCATTTGAAGTTATCTTAATCGCTTACAAATTAATAAAACAGGTATGTATTAAACAAAATATAAAATAAACGCTTTTTGCCTTGAAATTCACTCTACAAACTAATGAAAAAGGAACATTAAAAATCACACAAAATTCACAGTTCATTCAGTTAATTGCCAACGTTTTAATATGTTTGACCATAGCCTATTTGTGTTTGTCATTGGATTGGCAGTATGAACGTGAACAATGAAGATTTTATTTTATTTGATGTATTTGTAACACATATTATAAATATGTTTAAAAAATAAGTCCCGCTGGGTTTGTTGCTGGTTCTTCTCAGGACAGAGGTATTTTTCGAACCAGTGGTAAATAAATAAAATATTCTCAATAAGTATTATGTAATAATCTATATTGAATAAAAATTATTCTATTCTATTCTAAAGTTTAGCTTTCCACACTCTATCTCCTTATAAACTCAACTAGCACCAGCTCTCGATTCAGAGACCGGTGCCCAGCTGGATGTAGCCTATTTCGACTATAGGAAGGCTTTCGATAGTGTGGACAATGACGTCTTGTTGAGGAAATTTGCAATGGCTGGTTTCACTCCAGAACTCTTGCAGTTCTTTTCTAGTTATTTAGGGAACCGAAGGCAATTCGTGGACTACGCTGGCTACACCTCAAACTCGTATCTAACCCTTACAGGAGTCGGTCAAGGGAGTAATTTGGGTCAGTTAGAATTTATCATTATGATAAATGACCTTCCAGAGGTGGTGAGAAACGCGAGTTGTTTACTCTTTGCGGATGATCTCAAATTATTCCTGAGAATTACTTCCGACGAGGATTGCGATCACTTACAATGTGATATTGATCGGGTGGTGGAGTGGGTTCGGGAGAACAAATTGCTGTTTAATATATCTAAATGTAACGTGATGTCTTTCACACGCTCGAGGCCCCCGATACCTTTCAATTACCCCATGGAAAGGGATGTCATCAATCGCGTTGTCTGTATACGTGATCTTGGCGTCTTATTTACCGAGGACGTGACGTTTCGTACTCATATTATACAGGTGTGTAAAAAGGCCTTTAAAAAACTTGGGCTTCATAATGCGTGAAACGCATGACTTCCTCAACACTGCCGCCGTGAAATAATTATATAATGCTTTAGTAAGAAGCAATCTCGAAACCGGTGCTATCATCTGGTGTCCTTATGAGACCAAGTATAACCTCATGCTGGAGAGAATACAGACTAAGTCTACCCGGTACCTCTATTTAAAGCAATACGGGGTGTACCCTTTTTATCGTCTTATGTATCCAACCCGTTTTGTAATAGGAATGGTTGGATATTATAAGTTGGAGGTTAGACGGAACTTTGCGCTACTTAAGTACATGTACTTGATATTACGTGGTAGATTAAACAATCCGGAAATTCTAAAATCACTGCGGTTGCTCGTGCCTAATCCTAGGCTGCGACGGGGGCTGAGGGGAGAGTTGCTGGACCTACCAGTTGCTCATACAAATATTTTAAAGTTGTTCGTGCAGCTAGAATGCTTAACATCGTAGCACAACGATTAGACATATTTAATTGTACATTGGCGGAATTCGAGAAGGTAACATTAAACTATTTGTCTTTTTTACATTAGTGGCCACATTGTTGCATTAGGCTCCATTCCTGTAATAACAATTGTGAGGTAGTAAATAAATAAATAAATTATGCCAAATATCACACTCCTCCGGGTGCGCAATAGGCTGTAAAAGGGGTACAAAGTTTTCTCTTCATGTATTAATATATAGATAAGATTATATTAATATATAGATAAGCGACAGTAGCCTAATGGTTAAGGAAGCGGACTGCACACTCGGGAAGTCAAATTTGAATCCGCATTTCGACTAGAACTGGCACAAGCATTTTAAGATTACTTGGAGTGGTTAACGGTAATTAGTAATGACAATAGCATTACTTGTTTTCTTTTTTAGATTTTTTTTAAGAATATGTTTTATAAGAGACTCAAAACATATGAATTAAATACATACTTATATAGTATAATAATATTAGAGGGTTAATTTTTTCAAGAAGATGTAATATGATTAGATGTTTGGTTTGTGTGGTGTGCAGATGACGGTGGGCAGCACGCAGCGCTTCTACGTGGCGGTGCAGTGCGGCGCGGGCAGCGCGGCGCAGCTGTGGGAGTGCGTGTGGCAGCTGGGCGCGCGCCTGCTGGCGCTCGTGGCCGACCAGCCGCCGCCCTACCTGCCGCCCGAGCACCAAGCCAAGGACTACGGACAGGTCACATTCACCTACAAATCAAAATGCTTGTGTCCATACGTGGACCTAAGTGGACTAATGTTAATAGAATAATGTTACTAGAGTAGAAACATTTTTCTTTGGTCTTGGTTTGGAAAAACCGAACAAGTTGCTTCCGATCAGCCGAGGGCTTCCGAAGATTGCCGAACGTTCACGAGTCAACGAGCCACATTCTTTATGCATCGAGCACGTTTTGTTAAAATATTTTTTACACTTATTACCTGTTTTTACTTTCGTGAACGCAGCAATAATTTTAATATGGCAGTCTTCATTTTGGACCTCTTTGACGTATACAAGACTTTATACACAAATAAAAGACTAACGGTGAAAGTTCCGGTGAGTTTGCAGATTCACTATTTAAGTTTTCGCGCACTGCACTTGAATTGTTTGATTATCTGTAATTTTTTCTGCGATTGGTAGGTTAATTACGACATGTACGCTAATTTCTCACCGCGGTAAAGAGATTCACTTTAGTATCTTTGTACGTACCACGTAAACTTTCATTGCTTAAAATGTAATATCACACCATTTCGTAGTTAAAAGTATCCGCGGTTAGAATATTTTCGTTACGTCATTGGTCATTTGGCACGGTAAATATGCCCTTGACTCAGTTATATTTTCATTTACGCCAGTTAATGTTTTCAGCCAAATACGAAATAAAGTTACATATTCGTACTTATCTGGAATAAACTTCAAATCACGGTGACATAGTGTGCACATAAATAATAACAGCTTTTTCTTAGTCACATTACACAAAATCCATGTTAGATTGTCGAAAACAACTTTTACGGTTTACTAAACTAAGAACTAGGCTTCTTGGTTGTTTGAAGGCGACTAAAGAAGTTATGGAGAATTGAACGTAACCAAGTAATAATATTGTTTTCCAGACTTAGTTTCGGGTAATGGCGGTCAGGATTATAGTTGTCCAAGTGTATGCGCAAGTACAGGTGCACTCTTTATTCCCTCAACCTCAGTCCGATAGAACGGTTACCCGAGACGACGGGAGAGAGATCAGGCGAATGACCAACGACTTTACGTGTTATCCGAGACACAGAGTTGAAACACCGTCAACTGCCTGAATCCGGGCTGCTATTGAGACTTTCTTGACAAAAAACCCGATAGTTGCTTTTGACCCGACTCGGGGCTCATACCATGATCTTATCATCAACAACCGCGTTTGCGACCACTAGACTAACGAGACAGTAACAAAGTGCACAGTGTAGTGTCCGTCTAGCGTTATACATAGACATATTTGATTTAAAAGGAAGTGGACGACTCGCCACACGACGCCACTGCAGCTAACGATGGTGATGATGATGACGTGCTTGTGTGTGTGTGTGCAGTTCAACGTGTCTACGTCGCGCTGGTCGCAGGCGGCTTGGGGCGGGTCCGTGCGGCTGCGCGTGCGACGGACGGGCGGTGCGGGCGGCGGCGCGGGGGGCGGGGGCGCGCCGCGCGTGCGCACGCTGTGGCACGTGCAGTTCGCGCGCTGGTCGCCCGCACAGCATGTGCCGGACGACGTTTCACAATTCCTTGGTAAGTATAACAATCTAAGTTTGTATTTTACCAGTGTCTGACTTGTATTTTTTTTATAGAATAAGGTTGAGAATCTACCATACTGTTCACCTGATGACAAGTGGATGCTGTGGTCCAGAAACAAAATGCAGATGCGTTATCACATCTGAGAATTTATATGGAATGCTTCGTTTCCAGTAAAAAGGATCGCCGGTTCTATATACACACCACAGGAAACACAGCAGCATTAAGCTGGTATTTCACGCTTAAATTATGTGAAAGCGTGTTCCTTCCCCAGTCAAACCCATTCATTCTACAACCATAATATTATAGCTACAGCGTAGCTCTACCACGTATAAAACTATTCAACTTTTTGTATAATTTTATAATTTGTTTTATACAGGTTGATATACACTTTTTGCAGTTTTTAAAAATACACGTAAATAATGTTTCTACATTTATTTGAAAATATTCAAAGATGAACGGGATTTATGAGCAACAACTACAGCATACGCGCGCTCGTGTGTTTACGAATCAATGCACGGAACTTTTGCCTACTATTTACTTCCTTAATAACACGCTCGCTACTGAGTTGATAACTACGCGACGCGAATTCTGATTCCAATTTTACCTTCATACTTTAAACGGGCTTAGGATTGTCGCAGTAAATAAAATATTTCCTTTTACACATTTCAACGACGTAATCGTTGACTGTCTTTATTATTACGTACTTAAAAAATTGGAATCAAGTATTTATAACTATTAACAATTTAAAACGATAAACTATTTACAACATAAATATGCAATTTCTTAAATAACACTAACCATTCACAAAAATGTTTTCATTATTATTCAGTGCTTGCACACGTTGCTAATGAAATTGGTGATATCTAGAATAGTATAGTAGTTTCCAGTTCGTAGTTCTAACTAACTCTGAATTCTCGAGCTGCATCATTGATGCTAGCGCGGGAGTTTCTCGATCACTGCGTTTTCGACAGCCGGGATTATTACTGGTTAACTGCAAAAATTGTTCTCAGATTGGGTGGTGCGTTAGTTTCTTGTCTTTGCAAACGCGGTAAAGACTCACTTTCGTATAATCTTTGCGCACCACATAAACTTTCATTACTTAAAATGTAATACCGTACCATTTTATAGTATTCGTGTTTTGAATATTTTTGTGGCGTCGTTGCTAACGAAGTGACAAGTAATACTACTTACGAAAATTTAAAATTAGTACACTTGACGTAATGAAGTCACGGTCAAATCAACACTCGTCCGGCCGGGAGATATCCATATGCACCGGCACCACCGGCACCTCGCAGGAAGTCACCTACTATACAACACCGCTTGCTAAGCAAACAACAGCACGTTTTCAAAGGCTTAAGAATATTCAACATATTGTAAAACCCAGTTTGATTATTAAAATGGCCCAGTGGTAGTTTGGTTTGTACATAGGCTGCACTAAAAGTATCGGGAATGGAATATTTCCACTGTTCCTGTCATATTAAAATCTTTTTAATTGAAAACTCCTTGGTTTTAAAAATCGAATACCATTTATTTATTTTAAAAAAGATTCTCGGTCTTGTCACAAGGTTTTGTCAAACTTGTTTAGTCGTTGAGAAAATGGAATTGACTCGAGAAAATTCAAGAGCGATGATTTATTATGACTTTCGAAGTGGTTTAACACAAAAACAGTGTGTTGACCGGATGATTTCTGCATTTGGTGATGAAGCCCCATCCAAAACCACAATTTATCGCTGGTTTGCTGAATTTCAACGTGGACGTGTCAAGCTTAGTGATGATCCCCGTCAAGGTCGTTCAAAAACTGCAGTCACCCAAGAAAACGTTGATGCTGGGCGTAAGCTGATTGAGGAAGATCGACATCTACATATATAAGATCGACAAATACAAATAATCTTGCATTAACAATTAGGTGTAAAAAAATTGTTTTCCCGATGGATACCGCATTCGCTCTGTGAAGAGCAAAAAGCGGCTCGTGTTACTTGGTGCGTCAGAACTCTCGAAAGATTCCACGCAGGATCCTCAAATGCCGTATACAACATCGTATCAGGTGACGAATCCTGGATATACGCGTACGAACCCGAAACAAAAAACCAGTCACGAGTTCGGGTGTTCGAAAATGAGTTAAAGCCAACAAAAAGTGTTCGTTCACGGAGTGTTGCAAAAAAAATGGTGGCCACGTTTGTCTCCAAAACCGGCCATGTTACGACTATTCCTCTTGAGGGACAAAGAACGGTTAATGCAGAATGGTATGCTAGCATTTTTTTGCCACAGGTCGTTTCTGAACTCCGTAAAGAGAACTGCAACCGCCGCATCATCCTCCATCACGACAATGCGAGTTCTCACACCGCACACAGAACAAAAGAGTTTTTAGAGCAAGAAAACATAGAATTATTAGACCATCCGCCGTACAGCCCCGACCTAAACCCTAATGATTTCTATACTTTCTCTAAAATAAAGATTATATTGCGTGGACAGAGATTTTCATCACCTGAAGAAGCTGTGGACGCCTACAAAACGGCCATTTTGGAGACCCTAACTTCCGAATGGAATGGTTGCTTCAATGATTGGTTCCATCGTATGGAAAAATGTGTCAAATTTCGCGGAGAATACTTCGAAAAGCAATAAATACATTTTTAAATAGTAATGTTGTGTCACTTCCTTGATTCCCGAAATTTTCAGTACCGCCCTCTTAAGTTAGGTAGTCTAGTATTCCTGTGTACTCACATTGTCACAGTAGTTAATTTAACTTGTAAGTTAGAAAATAAAAGTAATATAGGAAAAGTCTTCGTCCATTTCCACTTAAACCCTCCTTAAGCTAAACGTAAGTCAGTTGTCTTTACCGAGTCAAAACAAATGTTAGATACCTAGATTTTAACAGTGGTAGAGCCACGCGGCAGCTTTTGCTGTCGCACGGATGGGCCGGCTCGAACCGGGGTGGTACCACGACCTCTCAGAAAACCAGCGTGAAGTAGAGGTTTACCTCTGCGTTTCGCTTGGTGAGTGTGGGTGGCCGGAGGCCCTTTTTACTGGAAATGAGGCATTCCATCTTAGTCCTCACGGGTGACAACGCATCTACATTTTGATTTGTAATAGAGGATTGATGTAGATGTCTATGGGCCGCAGCAACCACTTATCATCAGGTGGACTGTGTGCTCGTTTGTCACCCTTATCCTATAAAAAAAAAACCTAAATCTGTAACCAAGCGCGAGCGCCGAACTGGGCGAACGACACCAACTGCTTCTGAATTCAACACTCCCTTACGTATGTGTGCGTAAAATAGTAGGCGCTACATATTTATGAAATAATGACAATCCATTAAAATAATGCATTTCCACACATCTATACAAATAAATAAAATTGAAGTGTCTGTTTGTAATGTCAAAATAACAGCTTTTTACTAAATCCATATGAAAGTGTATACGGTACTTATAACAAAAACACACTTTTTAAAATTTTTGTCTGTCTTTCTGTCTGTCTGTCTGTCTGTTTGTTCCGGCTAATCTCCGAAACGGCTGGAACGATTTTGACGGGACTTTCACTGGCAGGTAGCTGATGTTATAAGGAGTAACTTAGGCTACTTTAATTTTAGAAAAATAATTAGAGTTCCGCGCAAAAAATTAAAACCCATGAAATCGTAGTAAAAAAAATTAAAACTCCACGCGGGCGAAGTCGCGAGGGACAGCTAGTTTTGAATATAAAAGATAAAAATGTTTTAGTTTTTTCTTTTTTTTTCACCATTCGCATATATTACCTATTCTGAAACTTCTTTGCAAATTTGCCCGTATATTGCAATATAAAAAATAAATAAAAAAAGTCTTAACTTTTTACAAAAATTCATTGATTCCCTTGCCCCCGAGATAGTATAAGTGTGTTTCAGGAACTAGTTCCACTCTTTAAAGTAAGCCTAGTCAATAGGTCATTTTTTATATTATATTAATTTAAAATTATTTTTTTAGTTAAACGGGTACAAAAATATGTTTAAGAAATTTAATGTTATTAAATAGGTGTGTGTGTGTGTATGTGTGGTGGGGGGAGGGGGGGGGGGGGGGGGTTGCAGGTACGGGCGTATGTGAGTGCCTTAGTTTGTATTTTACCAGAGTTTGACCTGTGTTGGCGCGGGTGGAGAATTAGATACCCTTAGTCATTGGAATTGATTTATGATAGATGTTCACCATTAAACGTAGCCTATGTTATTTTGGTACAGTGTAGCTTCGAATTCTTTAGAATTCAGTCAGATTTTTAGTATTTCGTGCAATCAACTTCATCTCTTTTGCACGCCTCATAACGCGAAGCATTATTAGGTAGTGCATTACTCTCGACAGGACAAGGTCAAACAATTTTGTGGTCTTAAAATGCCTCTATTATAACCATATTGCACTTATACGATAATATGAGTAGCCGTCGCAGTTATATCAAGAAAACACTAATTAATGCATCTTATATTTTATAAAAATCATTTTATGTTGCTACTTTGATAAAAAATGGTTTGAAAACCATTTTACATCCGGATGTTCATTTTGTATGTGATCACGATAACTCCCGAAAAATTGACGTATCGAGGCCGGGTTTTTTTTTATTAGCTTCAGAATTACATCAACTGGTTCCCTATTTTATATCAATAGTATGCGTCGTCTGTTAATAAAATAATTTTCAAGTTTTATAATTTCTATTGCTACTAAAAATTAAAAGGCGCTTTCATTTTTATCATATAGCCTATAACGATTTTATACTTTGTGTAATTATTTATTTTGGTAATTTTGTTTTTTATCAAAACTAAATGAAACGCTCATGAGGCGTGCACTTTTGGATTTTCCAAACTATTTAATATTAGTGCAGCAACTTCTTTTTAGAACGGAGAATGCATGTTTAGCAATTACTGATAAAGAGTAAAAAAAGTGTCAAGATCATGATTCGGGGAAGGACCACGCTTATATAGAATATTGACGTGAAACAGCAGCTTAACGTTGCAGAGTTTCGTATAATGAGTGTAAAGAACCGGGGACCTATTTTACTGGAAACGAGGCATTTTACCTTGGTGTTTAGGGGTTACAACGCATTGTGGATTTTGATTTTAAATTGAGGATAGATACAGATGTTCATGGGACACAGTATCCGGTTGTCATCTTTCGATTCTGCAATCTTTATTGTACTTTCTCATATGAATATAATGTTCTTTTTTTATTTTTCTTTTACAATAAGAATGACAAACCAGCTTCCAGTTCACCTGATGGTAAGATGATAAGTAAGAAGAAGTTCACCTCAGTCCTAACCAGCCGCATTTTGTAGTGCAGCTTCCACGACAATATATGTGTTTATAGTGTAAAATAAAGATTAGTCTAATTTAAGTCCTATACAAATCAACACGTCTCCTTCTCGTTGACACTTTTCTAACATTAGAATTCGGTGAGCGTAAGATTATTAGCTGTACAATTTGTCGTGGCGCAGAGTTCCTGTCGGAATTGAACGGTCTGCGGCTGGCGTGCGAGGCGGGAGAGGATGCGGGTGGTGTGGTGGGGGGCGGCAGCGCGCCGCTCGCTGTGGTGTGTCCGCAGGGCGCCGGCCGCAGCGGCGTCGCGCTCGCCGCGCACCTGCTGCTGCACGTGCTCGACACCAACCAGGTACCGCACACGCGCACGTACACAGACACATGTACATACAACCAGGTACCGCACACGCACACGTACACAGACACATGTACATACAACCAGGTACCGCACGCACACGTACACAGACACGTGTATATACAACCAGGTACCGCAAGAGTACACAGTCACATGTACATACAACCAGGTACCGCACGCACACAGACACTCGTACATACAACCAGGTACCGCACGCGCACACGTATACGTACGCACTGAAACACATGTGTACGCACGCACACACAGATACACACAAGTACGTACTAATGCGCTGACACACGCACGCACAGACACACGCACGCACAGCTATACGTACGCACGCACGCACAGACTTACGCATTCGTACGCACGCCTACATGCATCGCACTGTTAGATCTTAGAAACAAGAAAAGTCTTTTTAGAACAAATAATACTTATAAAAATGAGTTAATTTGTAATTACTAGTAATCGAAATTCTACCGTAATACATCAAATTTTTAGTTTGTATTGTTAGTTTCATTCAAAGTATTGAAAAATTATAGGTAAGCATTAAATATTGAAATATTATCTGTGGTGTTTTCTTCTTAAATGTACATGGCATTGCCCCATAAATTGAAATGGTTATTTTTATAATAATTAAATCAATTTGCGCTCACGTGTAATTTAATTTTTATAACTTTAATACCTGAAAAAAATAGTTAATACTTTACTTAGAATTATAACTTATTGTCACACAAAGTGTACATACCCAAAGTCAAAGTTATACGAGGGTGACACTGAAAGTTTTTAGAACTGGCCACTAGTAAACTATATACTGGGTGCCCAGTAAGAGTAGCGGGAGTTTGTTTATTGGTTCACGGCGTCAAGTGAAGTAGCAGGGGCGCGGGGAGGGCAACGTCGCGCGCGTCGGTTCGTGGAATTTTAGTTGCCATGGAGCCGTATCCCGGAATGCATCGCGCTTTTTGCGTGCGAGCGTATTATCGCAATAACGATTCCATTGTTACTGCTCAGCGTGTATATCGCACACGTACAGCGCCAAGCGACGATGTCATACGAAAGTGGATTAAAATGTTCGAGAATACCGGGTCGACTGTTAAAATTCAAAATACAGGTCGCCCGCGAAGCGTTAGAGATGCAGATGCTTTAACAGTGGTAGAGCCACGCGGCAGCTTTTGTTGTCGCACGGATAGGCCGGCTCGAACCGGGGTAGTACCACGACCTCACAGAAAACCAGCGTGAAGTAGAAGTTTACCTCTGCGTTTCGCTTGGTGAGTGCAGGTGGCCGGAGGCCCTTTTTACTGGAAATGAAGCATTCCATCTTAGTCCTCACGGGTGACAACGCATCTACATTTTGATTTGTAACAGAGGATAGATGTAGATGTCTATGGGCCGCAGCAACCACTTACCATCAGGTGGACTGTGTGCTCGTTTGTCACCCTTATCCTATAAAAAAAAAATTTAAAAAAAATGCAGAAACAATCGAAGAAGTGAGAGTTTCAGTACGTGAAAATCCCGTCGCTATCAATTCGCAAACGAGGACAAGAACTAAACATCAAAAAATCTTCACTGCAGGTAATTTTGAAGAAAGATTTGCATCTCACAGACTACAAAATCTAGTTAGTCCAAGAACTGAAGGATTCTGATTATGAAAGTCGGTTAAATTTTGCTACTGAAATGCTAGAGCGATTCAACAGCTTTGACAATATTCTGTTTAGCGACGAGGCCAATTTCCACCTTAACGGTGACGTTAATAAACAGAATTGTCGCTACTGGTTCAAAGAAAACCCTAAAACAAAACATCAACGGCCACTTCTTTGTCCAAAGGTCATCGTTTGGGCCGCCTTTTCTGGTAGAGGCATAATCGGCCCCTTTTTCCATGAAGACAGACGTGGGTTACGGACAGCAGTTACGGTGAATACAGACCGCTGTTGTGACATGTTAAGGACTTTTTCGGCGCCCGCGTTACAAGATTTCCCAGGGTTTAATTCAAGAACATGGTTTCAGCAAAATGGAGCCACATGCCACACCGCAGGGGCGTCAATAGAAGCTGTAAAGGAATTGTTCCCAAACAAAGTTATTTCGCGTAGGGGCACCATTAACTGGCCCCCTAGAAGTCCAGATCTTAGTCCTCTCGACTATTTTTATGGGGATACCTTAAGGGTAAGGTATACGATAACCACCCAACGAATCTGAGTCAATTGAAGGAGAACATCACGTCAGAGATGAGGACAATCCCAACTTCGCTTTGTCAACGCGTCGTCGCCAAACTGCGTTCAAGGTTAGAGGAGTGCCAGCAGCGTGGGGGGACACATTTAGATAATGTTATATTCGCCAAATAAATTTTCAAAAAACTGTTTTTGAATTAAAGATTAATTGTATTTCTCATTTTATTTAACTGTCAAATACCCGGTACCCTTACTGGACACCCGGTAATAAAAAAATAAGTTCAAATTTTGAAAATGGAACTCTTTGTCAATATTATTGTGTATGTATTTTATTAATTTGTCATTTGTTTACGATTTGGCGGCAAATTGAAAATTGTCTGTGTCACGTCAGCATGAATATAACGCGAGAAAATTTTCGTAAATTGTTTTTTTATGACTTTCGATGTCATTGAAGTCAACAAGAAAGTTATGATAGACTTCGATTGCCCTTTCACGATGAACCCCCATCTCGTGCTACTGATTACAACTGGTTTAATGAGTTTAAATATGGTCGCACAAATCTCACCGATGATCTGCCTGAGGGACGGCCTTCTACGGTGACGACTGAAGATAACATCAGTGTTATGCGGCGTATGATAGAGACTGACAAAAGAGTGACTTATCAGCAGATTCGGACAAGCTTAGGCATCGGTATGAGTCAAGTGCACAAAATCCTCCCTGAACATTTAGCGGTCAAGAAGCTTTGTGCCCGGTGGATACCTCATAATTTGACAGGGGCCCAAAAACTCCGTCGTTTTGATTGTTGTCGTGAAATTGTTCAAAGATTTAACGGAGGTGAATCAAATACTGTGTTCGACATACTTACGGATGACGAAAGCTGGATTTATTGTATTATGACCTCGCAATAGGATCCTCCTTCACCAGGACAACGCCTCCGTCGCACACCGCCAAGCAACAATCGACTACTTGGCGACGCCAGATGTGGAATTACTGGGTCACCCGCCCTATAGCGCCGACCTCGCACCTTGCGATTTTTATTTATTTTCGAAAATAAAAGAAAAACTTCGAGGAAAATGTTTTATGGACGCCGAGGAAGCAGTGAGTGCGTGCGCAAAATCCCCTAAGGACGAGTGGACAAAGTTCTTTTCTCAGTGGTTCCATCGGATGCAGCGATGTATTGATGTAAATGGACACTATTTTGAAAATATATAATAAAAGTAACAACCTAGTTCGTTCAGTTTTTGATTTTCTAAGAGCTTTCAGTGTCACCCTCGTATTGTTAATTAGTAAATTTTATATGAGAGGCGAGAGTCTGGTAGATTATTCATACAATAATACAGGTCTTTATTTTATTTTATTTTATTTTTATTTGCTTGGAAAACTTACAGCTAATTTACAAAAATAATATAATTATAACAAAAATGAAGGCCATTTACAAGTTTTCACTTATATAATACTTTATATGACAAGAGTGTGTCAGAAGAGATATAGTAACAGTATACTTAAATATAAATTACATTATCAAAAAGAAAAGAAGTTGTTAGAAAGTAAACGCCTAAGTTGGATAACGCTGGAATGAAATAAATCAATATCCACATTGTGAGTATGTGCTATAGCATTAAAAGATCTGCATGATCGAATAATAAAAGAGTTTTTCCTGTAATTACTTTTCACGCATGGTACATATAAAAGTGTAGGTTTCCGCAAACCAGATGATGAGGTGTGTAAACCTATTTTACTTAATAGTTCAGGACAATCAATATTACCATTCATAATTTTAAAGAGGAAGGAGAGATCTGCAATATTTCTACGCTCATATAAAGGTAATATGTGATTTTTTTTACATCGAAGAGTATAGCTGGGTATAAACTTTTTTGATTTAAATTGAAGAAAACGCAAAAATCTTTTTTGTATGCGCTCTATCCTATCCACATATTCATTATATTTTGGATTCCAAATTTCAGAACCATATTCCAAATGGCTGCGTACAAAAGCGCAATATAGAATTTTGAAGGTTTTTATGCTTTTAAAATCTGCCGATAACCTTAATATGAAACCCAGCGCTTTGTTAGCCTTTGTAACGATGTTATCAACGTGATTGTCAAACAGCAATTTAGAGTCAAAAGTAACACCGAGATCTTTGATAGTGCTGGTTCTATTTATAGAAATATGGTTTAATTTATAATTATAAATTATAGGATTAGGTTTACGAGTAAATGAGCAGATAAAACATTTGGAAACATTCAGATCGAGTTTATTGTTAGAACAGTATGCTTCTAAATTGAAGAGATCCTTTTGAAGGCTAGAACAACTTTCCAAACTTGTAATAGGACATAAGATTTTCATATCGTCAGCGTAAAGAATAATCTTGGAATTTTTAAAACACGTGTCGATATCATTGATAAAAATTAAGAAGAGCAAGGGCCCCAATAGGGATCCTTGTGGTACGCCAGACGATATATGGATTGCAGACGAACGATATCCACCAAGGACGACAGATTGACTTCGATTTCTGATGTATGACGTAAACCATCGGAATAAGTCCCCCCTGATACCCATTGCAAGGAGTTTACGTAAAAGAATTAAATGATCGATTCTGTCGAATGCTTTGCAGTAGTCTGTATAGACTACATCTACTTGTGCTGGTTTAGACATAAAGCTAGTTAGATAGTCGGAACAAATAACAAGGTTTGACACGGTAGATCTGTTTTTTAAGAAACCATGTTGATTTTCACTAAATGAGTGGCGAAGGGAAGAGTACACCTGGTTGTAAATTATTTTTTCAAATACTTTAGCGAATAAACAGAGCTTGGAAATGGGACGATAGTTTTG